TGGTTGCTTTGCATCTACGCTTCGGTTGATCTCATTTGCAGCCTCAGCTCGCTGGTGATGCCCACTCGATCAGATGCAACGCGATGCAGGGTTGGGTGCGTTTTACCGGCAAGAAAACAAGTCAACTCTGAGCTCATAGTACGTAGAGTTGTACGGCGATTTACTTTACTCGTCGTCAATCATTGCTGCCGCCGTTGGTCAGCTCTACTAGGCTACTACAGCACCAGCCACCCAGGGTGGTTGGTTGCAGCCTCGTGAAAGGTTAAGGTGTTGTTGTTGTACTAGGAGTAGGCCATATCTTCTACTAGGACTCCTCTTCTGGTAGATCAACTAGCCATGTGATGGCAATCTCGTGCTGTTGGTCGAATAAACGGAAGCCACTGCACTGCACACAAAACTCTTCTTTCACTTTTGATATATGAACTCCGCCTTCGCCGCGGCTAATGGGACCAAATCAGTAGTAGGATTTAGGCCACTGTTTCTTTCAGTTTAGGATTATTATAATCTAGATTATTGACTCAGATTACTATAAGCTAGATTGTTATAATTTATAGTAGAATAAGTGGTTAGTTGTTTCTTTCCTGAATTATTAGAGCCTAGATTATTGGGTTTGCAAGTCTAAAAAGGGAGTGGGGTGGCATGGTGGGTAATTTTTCACTTAATAATCTGGAAAAAGCTCACCTAAATGAGCTTATCAAATAATAATAAGCTGGGCTCCAGATTATAATAAGCTACTTCAATAAGTTGTCTGTTTCTTTCAGCTTACTCTCAATAATCTGGATTATAATAATCTTAAGCTGAAAAAAATATGGCCTTAAGTACCTTGCTTTTGGAGTTTTCCTTGGCAAAGTTGGAACGATTTGACCTGACGATTGTAGTGTTGTAGACTTGTGGCAGCACAGTAAAAGGAGACGGCAGTAAGGAGCTAGTAGATGGATGTGAACAAACCCTAACTCTGAACTTTTCGGCTATTTGTTGGACAGATCAAGGTGGGGGTTGGCCTCTAGGTAACCGAGCAAACATGCATATGGACATACTAGTTGTCTGACAAGTTGACGACTCTAGCTACAAGAATTGCGGCCTAACCATCCCATATCTTCTTCATTTCATCACATCACGTAGACGACGTAGCTGAAAGAAGAGTACTAGTCGTTCTCGTTTGCTATAGGATTACGTGCATACTCCTTTCCCAACATACAGTAATCTAAAAGTAGGACGCATCATATTACTATAAATTTAATTAAAAGTATTGAGATGTATTCTATCCGATCTTAATTAAATTGCTACTCCCTCCATCCTAAATTAAGTTCATCTTAATTCCAAGCAATTGTTGTATTAGAGTTTTTAAAAGTACGAGATAAATACATTAGAAGCATATATATAAAGTAGGAGATAAATGCATTAGAATTTGGTAAAGGAAATGGTATTATAGCACATATTGTAATGATATGTATGGGATAAATAAAAAGTAAAATTATTTTAGGATGAACATACTACTCCACTCGTTTCATATTATAAGTTGTTTAACTTTTTCTTAGTTAAATTTCTTTAAGTTTGATTAAATTTATAAAAAAAATATAGTAGTATTTTTAACACAAAATAAACATACCATCAAAATATATTTAATATTAAATTTAATGAAATTAATTTAATTTTTTAGATGTTGTTAAATTTATCTATAAATTTGGTTAAACTTAATAAAATTTAATTAGAAAAAAAATCAAATGATTTATAATATGAAATTGAGAGAGTATATTTATAGATGGGGAAGTATTTCCCATATAAAAGACGCAGTAGTAGATGATATGACTCGAAGATATACTCCCTCCGTCCTAAAAAACAAACTATGGTTCTTCGTTCTTCGTGTCCAACGTTTGTCTATTCGTCTTATATAAAATATTTTTATAATTAGTATTTTCATTATTGTTAGATGATAAAACATGATTAATACTTTATGCGTGACTTGTCTTTTTAATTTTTTTCATACTTTTTTTAAATAAGACGGATGGTCAAACGTTGGACAAAAAAACCCATGATTTATATTTTTTTGACAGAGGGAGTAGATAAAGCCAAACAGAAGGGCAAGCGAAGTTCCAATCAAAAGGAAGAAGCGGAGAACGTACGTGCTACTTTCGCCTTTCTCTCGCCTCGGAACCCGACTCATGTACGTACTATCGCAGCAGTAGTAGTTGTGGATCGATCATGCCGTCGCTTTTCCGATCCACGATGAGAACAAAGGGAAACTGATAAAAAAATTCCCGCCCGATCACGGCAAGCAAATGCGAAGAAGAAGACGCAGCTAGTATAGCTTTTACGCGACCTTTTGAGGAAGTAGTACAAGTACTCATATAGTACGAGTACAACACTATAGGAGTATATCAAAGCTGTAATGCATTAGTGTTCAGGTAGCATTCATTTCGATTCAACTTGTTGTGAAACTGACAAATGCGTTGGCACCGACGCATCTGTGTTTCTCATTTCTTCATACATTTCACACTGCGTCGATCGATCTATCCCTGATGGTCAGACCTCTTCATTGAGCATGTCAATGGTGACCATTAATTCGGAACAATTCAGAGCTGTTTCCACATAGTATTAACATAGGTCGCGTGCCGTGCACACAGAGAGTATTGTATTGCGATGCTTGGATCACACTGAGATGTCCGGTAGAAAATTAATATCAGTAGTAGTATGTTAGCATATCTGGAACTGACGGATAGGGCGTTGATGGTCGTCAAAGCAGAGATGGATCGAGTCTGCACTCTGCAAGAGACTGCAAGTTTATCGATCGAGCATTGACTAACGTTGTTGTTTCGGTGAAACTCTGAAACCTTACTACTGCACACTGCAGCAAGCCTTGAGCCCAGGCCATGTGCCGGATCTGCTTTGGCTGCGCATCATCGAGCTCTCATGAATTCATGATACTTTCCATATGGCTATCTCCTGCAGGATGATGTATGCAGAGGCTGCAGCATGCAGCTGGCCTCTTAATTTTGTGTCCACTAATAAGATTGTGTTAGGTCACGGTTCCTTGATGACTGTAATTAGCTAGCAGCCTAGCACCGCCGGACGCTGCGTGCCTGGACAGATTGGTAAGGGGTTGACCTGTTTGCTTGTCTGCAATTTAAGTCGCGCCTGCAGTAGTAGGATTGGGAGTACGTGTTAGGTGTTTTGCCCTGAGCTAGCTTGTGTTTGCTTCTTATGACTGATGATTATTCTTGTGCCTGGATGCAGAGCAGAGCACATGCATGCCGTGAGACTTGAGGGTCATGGGTTCAGACACTAGGGCATGCAGTTCAGGGGAAAATAACCGGCAACAGGGTGTGGATCAAGTGAAAGAGAGAACTGTCTAGGCCCCGTTCTTTTCTCTAATAAAAGTTGGATAAAAATTTAGATATTCGTGCCATGTTTTTTAAACTGTTAAACGGTACGTTTCGTGTAAAAAACTTCTATATAAAAGCTGCTTCAAAATATCATAAACATATTTTTCAAGTTTATAATAATTACAATTTAATTAATATAGCACCCCGTTTTATGTAAAATACTTAATCTTTATCCACATGAGTTTCAAACACCATCTTATTTTGAAAATGGGGGCGCGTTGACTTGACTAATGGTGTAACATGAGCGATTGTGTGATACTGTTATTATATGCGAATGATCAAACTGTCATCAAGTGCAGGCTGTTGTCTTCCTCTATCTTCTTCTATCGTGCTATTACTAGTAAGTTTTCTCTTTGTTTGAAAATAAACAGATTTAGTATGAAATATAAATTTGAATAAACAAATTTTATATGAAATATAAATTTAAGATGCAATATATTACAGTATTACGAATCTGAATTGAAGAAAGTTTGTTTGTTTTAGGATGAATCCGTGTGGGACTAGGTAGGTGTGTCCAAATTCTCCAATGTGCAAGCAGTACCATTTTGCCTTGATGTTTGGTCCAGGCGAAGCTGTGTCACTGGTTCTACTCTACCTGGCGGGTTGCAAGTTGGCGTACGTGTCACTGATACATATGCTGCCTGCAGCTAGCTGGAGTAGTAGTAATTAGTATCAGGAGGAGGTAGCCGAACGGGAGCATTTGGCGCGACGCACTTGTTGCCATCTCGTCGCAGGCAGCGCGCGCGGCCTAGCTCATCTCATCTCATCTCATCTCATCTCATCATCTTATCATCTCATGGGGAGTAGGAATTGACCGGCGTGGACACGGCGGCAATATGATCTGATCAGGCCAGATCACCGCCGTGACCGCAGCGAGATAGTTTGCTTTGACCCGATGAGCTGCAGTGCAGTACAGCACGCAGCTCAAGCAGCAAGGTTTTGATCGATCTGCGGCTTGCGTTCTGACGAGTGACGACTGGTTGAGTGGTTGGTACCCCTGCCGATCGAGACGAAAAGCGGTCGGGCAAGGGACAAACGCTAAGGTCGTCGTCGCCGGCCGGAACCAGCAAACGTCACTTGACCTATCTTCCAAGCATCGAACCACCAAGGGTACATGAAAACTGTGACGTAAAAATTTCCTGACCCGCAAAGATTCTAGTTATATATAAGTTTCATCACTGTTAAAATAGCAAAATTCGTATGTATGAAATTTTTTGACCGAGCAAGAATCGTTTCAGTAGAAATGATATCGTCTTAAAACATTTTCATCCTTAATGTGAGTAGCTCGTGACTGTTGACTTGTGACATGGGCATGATGACCCGGCGTTGTGCGGGCCTTGGGCTGTGGGCTGCGTGACTGTGTGAAGGCCTATCTACACGAGGCGATGCCAAAATGATTTTTCTTCCTTCTGTAGTACAATACTTGCAATGAAAAACAGGACATATTCCGACTTCATTTCTGTCCAATGCACACATGACCACTCCACACAGCCTGCAAGTGGGGCGGGTCGACCCGTTAGGTCCGTGGCCCGAACCTAAATTTGTGGCACCAATAGGTTTTCGGGCCGGCCCATATTTTCTTAGGTGATAATGGGTCCAGGAGTCAGTTGACCCTAGGGGTTTTTGGGTCGGCCTTGTTCGAGCGCTCCACTTGCTCGCGTTCAAATGGCGGCGGCGGCTTTAGGGCTCCCGGCCTGCGGCGGTGCGGCTCCACGGCGGATCGAGCCGGCGGCGGTGGCTCCCAGCGGAGGCGGCAGCGGTGTCGGCGCAGCTCCACCGCGGATCGAGGTGGCGGCGGCGGCAGCTTCGGCTTCGCGGTGTGCTCCACCGCGGGTTGAGGCGGCGGCGGCTGGGCGTGCTCCTTCAGTCCTCCTCCCATCTCCAACTCCCCCCAAGACTGGTACTGTGGTTCACATCATAGCAACTAGCAACGGATTCTTTGGTTCTTGATTTTCTTTTTATTTTCTTTGGTTCTTGATTCTTTAGTTCCTCTTCTATGCAGTTCCTTCTTTCGGCGGCGGATGGAGGCACCGGCGGGCGGCGGCTACCTGCTTGGTGGCCAACCGGCGAGGTGCTCCGGAGGACACTCCACCGGCAGCAACGGCGAGGGTTTCGGAGGACACCCGGCCACATCGCCACCTTCTTCCAGCTGGGTTTCTCTAACTCGTGAGCACAAGTATGATTTCCTCCATGAACCCTGTCTTGTTCATCTGTCTTGCTCGGTTTTGGTTTGATTTGTATATATAGTGTCTCATTCAGGAGAAAGTTTCAGTGACTGTTATAGCTAGGCTTTCATGCCATTTTGCTAGGCCCAGATTTGTATGCCAGGAAAAAGTTTCATTTTGCTTTCATGCCATTCAGGAGAAAGTTTCAGTTACTGCTAATTTAAAGTTTCCTACTGCCTTGTGTAAAATAGATGGTCTTTTACTTTGTCTCTATATAACCTGGATTTTCTCAATATTCAGGATATACTGAACGAAACACTGAATAAGTAGCATTTTTGCATGCTTCTGACAACATGCTGTTGTGCAGATTTTTACACCAAAATTTCCTTTCCATACATTATGTGATAGAAAATTATTTTAGATGGCAAATGATACATTTGTGTTGTTCGTTGCTTTGTTTCAAGTGAGGAAATGCGGACACCCAACGCATTTTTTGGACTTGGCACTAACAGTGGTGAAGATATTGAGATGGGTGATGGTGATAGTGACTCTGAACAAGTTGGTCCTGTAGATGAGCATGTGAATCCAGTAATACAAGCTTTAACAAGGAAATTCAGATCTGAGGCTTGGAAAGAGTTTGTGCCGATACTCATTGATAATGAAGTTGGTGCAGGAAAATGTAAGCACTGTGATACAGAGATCCGTGCAAAGCGTGGAGCGGGAACAAGTTCATTGAGGAAGCATTTGACAAGATGCAAGAAGCGAATTAGTGCTCTTAAGATTGTGGGAAATCTTGACTCTACACTTATGTCTCCTAATAGTGTAAGGTTAAAGAATTGGAGCTTTGATCCTGAAGTTTCTAGAAAAGAGCTCATGCGAATGATTGTATTACATGAGTTGCCCTTCCAGTTTGTGGAGTATGATGGATTTAGAAGTTTTGCTGCTAGTCTTAACCCCTACTTCAAGATTATTTCGAGAACAACTATAAGGAATGATTGCATCGCTGCTTTTAAAGAGCAAAAGTTAGCAATGAAGGACATGTTCAAGGGTGCAAATTGTAGGTTCTCATTGACTGCAGATATGTGGACTTCGAACCAAACAATGGGATACATGTGTGTGACATGTCATTTCATTGACACAGATTGGAGAGTACAGAAGAGGATTATAAAGTTCTTTGGAGTAAAGACACCTCATACTGGAGTGCAGATGTTCAATGCTATGCTCAGCTGCATTCAAGATTGGAATATCGCAGACAAAATATTCAGTGTTACTTTGGATTATGCTTCAGCCAATGATTCAATGGCTAAGTTGTTAAAGTGCAATTTGAAAGCTAAGAAAACTATACCAGCAGGAGGGAAGCTACTTCACAACCGATGTGCAACACATGTCATCAATCTCATAGCCAAAGATGGGTTGAAGGTTATTGATTCTATTGTTTGCAACATCCGTGAAAGTGTGAAGTACAGGGATAATTCCCTATCTCGCAAAGAAAAGTTTGAGGAGATCATTGCCCAAGAAGGGATCACATGCGAGTTGCATCCCACTGTGGATGTATGTACTCGTTGGAACTCCACATATCTAATGCTCAATGCAGCCTTCCCTTTCATGAGGGCTTATGCTTCATTGGCTGTTCAAGACAAAAATTACAAATATGCACCCTCTCCTGATCAGTGGGAAAGATCAACCATAGTCTCTGGAATTTTGAAGGTGCTTTATGATGCAACTATGGTGGTGTCTGGATCTTTATATCCAACATCAAACCTTTATTTCCATGAGATGTGGAAAATCAAATTGGTCTTGGACAAGGAACACTCTAACAATGACACTGAAGTGGCAAGTATGGTTCAAAAGATGAAGGACAAATTTGACAAGTATTGGCTTAAGTCTTACAAATATCTGTGCATTCCTGTCATTTTTGACCCAAGATTCAAATTCAATTTTGTGGAATTTCGGCTTGGGCAAGCCTTTGGTGAAAATGCTAAAGAGAGGATTGACAAAGTTAAGAAGAGAATGAACATGTTGTTTAAGGAGTACTCTGATAAACTCAAGGATAGCAATGCTAACCCACTGCGCCAAGCTGAACATGTGATGGCTATCTCTGAAAATGATCCTATGGCTGATTGGGTTCAACACATCTCTGAACAATGAAGTGAGCAAGTTGATACTGAATTGGATATCTACCTCAAAGAGAATCCTATTCAGGAATTTGGGAACAAATTTGACATTCTAAATTGGTGGAAGACCAATCACTCAAAGTATCCAACTCTCGCTTGCATAGCACAGGATGTGCTAGCATGGCCTGCTTCAACAGTTGCATCTGAGTCCGCATTCAGCACAGGATCTAGAGTGATCAGCGATTTCAGATGTAGCCTTACAATGGATTCAGTTGAGGCGCTTATCTGCCTCCAAGATTGGTTTCGAGCTTCTGCCGGTATACACGACTGCCCTCGTTCATTTACTTCTAGTATTTATCTTGCTAAAACTAATTTATTTTTATGTTTTGATTGCTAGGTCCTAACATAAATGTGAGCTCAGTAAATGAAATCAACTACAGTGATAATTTTGTGGTTAGTAAATTGCTTGTGCTCTTCTTATCATCTGTCTATTTAATTTTCTGAAAGAGAAAGATGTCTATTTATTCAGTATTTGCTTGATTGCTTGCAAGATCTCTTCCAGCTTTTCTCTTTCTATTTATCCAGTATTGAACAATGCCTATATGGGTTTGTTGTCCTACTTGCTAGCTTTCTGTAAAATTGGAATATGAAGTTTCAATGTCTCTATCATGTATTCATCTTTATCTATAGAACCTGGACCTGGAGGATTCCATGGATGGACAGGATGGTGGAAGCTTGTGAATGCCCAAACAAAGGATCTGGATATTGATGGTTAGTAATCTATCATGAACTTGTATTATACTATTTATAATCTGAGCTAGTTCAACTCTTGTACAACATATGAGAAGCTCTAGATGTACAAAAGGAATAAACCTCATTTCTGGTATTGCAATGCTCTGCTTTCTGAAATAAAACGATAGCCTAAAAATAGACTGTACTGCACTACTGCTAGATAAATGAAGAAAATTAGTAAAATCTGCAAAATTTGTGTAGCACTTGTTAGATGATTCTTGTATTCCTTAATCTCTGATTGTGAATACTATTGAGTGACTGCAGATTACTTCTGTTTTTCAAGCATGTTTTATATGTCAAATACTCAAATGCTTAGAACACCTACTGCGTTGATTCCTCTGTCTGTCTGCATATGCTCATGTCTTTGATTCAGTTGTTGCCCATAAAACATAAATGCACCATTTCTTTTTCTGAGAGATATTGCAGGTTATTACCTTTTTAAAACAATTATTGTATATTTTCTTCCTGTTATTATACCATGATCATTCGATCTCTCCATCATGTTAACCTGCAGAATCTGGACCTGGGTGATTCAACGAACAGTGCAAGCTAGGGAATGCCAAATGATGCCCACTTTGATCTTGGAAGGCTGCATTTTGTTTGATCTCAATATAATGAACCGGATATTTGGGTTGTTCAAATCGATTTTTGTGAATGATATGAGTACATGCATGTACTTAGTTTTAATTGAACTGGGTGCCAGTACCCAGTGATTGATGTTTGTACTTTTGAATGCAAAAGATTAAGTCATTTCGGAATGTTTGCATTGGGTATACAGTGTGTTCTGGTATGGTTTTTGATTATTTATTTATTTTGCTGTAGTGCTGTTGATTTGCTTCGCACAACCGAAATTTCTAGTATGTTAGTATGTGTTCAGATATCATGCTAGTGTATGTGTTTTTGTTTCCTTATTTCACTTGATATCTGACTTATATAAAATTAGTATAGTACAAAAATGATATCAGTTTAATATAAAATGATTGTTCATATTATTTTTGAATCTTGTATAATTGAATTGACGTATAGCTACTTGCTTTAATGGTTCACTGATAACACATTAACACAGCCAGTCAACCATTCACTGGACACGGTGGCTCAGACGCTTAGTGCATCCGGCCCGCGGCTACGGTGGGTCGGCCACGAACCTAACGGGCCGGCTCCACTTCCACCAGAGACGGGGCGAACTCAGGCACCAAGATAGATAGGGTCAGAGGGTATAGGGGATGGGTCGGCCCGATCCGCCCCCTTTGCAGGCTGACTCCACAGTCCATGCCAGAAGTTTATAACAGCGCAAGGATTTCATTTTAAAAAGACATCATGTCCTTGAATAATATCAATTTGTGTCTTGTCTGAACAATTCACTGATTTCAATAGGAGTTTTCAGGAAACGATGACGAATTACAGCAAACTACAACTTCACACCTCACTAACCACGAAGATATACATCCAAATATCCAATACACAAGGAAACCGAGATGAGATTGCTCCTCAAGATGGCTCAAAATCGGGCTGTAACCTGGGAGAACAACGATTTGAAGTCTTTTGTTGGTGTGCCTGTGCCTTCAGGCTTTGAAGCCAAATCAAATGCCTTGAACTTTGTCTCTTCATACTGCAGGGCCTATTATAAGGGGAAAAGTTTGCAATCAGAATGGTAAGTTCACCATGTGACTATCCATATTTTTTCACGGTGCTTGTTGACAGAAAGTAGAAACGTATGGCCGATGCATCAATGCTTCATCGCCGGAAAACTTAGCTAAGTAAACTCAAAGATAAACTATCACTGTATTGACCACAAAGATCATACCTGAACACAAACTTCAGCAACATCAGCTCTTGGAATTGACTTCGTGTCTGTCTGGAGAAGTTCATCGTCATTGCCAACAATCAACTCCCTCACTCCCCCGTCTTTGTCTTGCAGACCACCAGGCCTACATGGAAGTGATGGAAGATACACACAACATATTATATTTTTCACATATACGAATTGGCTTAGTATCATTGACAATGAAGTAGCAAATCAGGCCTATTGTGGTGGAAAATCAAACATTTCCTAAGTTTCAAGAACAAAGCGAATTAAGCCAACCGGACCAATTAGTCAGGCTATTACGTATGGCTTCTTGTCTTATGCAGGTGGTACCTTATTATTGTATAAGGGACTCCACTGTCTGCCAAATACTGTTCTGACTTGCGCTTCCAAACCTATAACAAATAAATAAGGCCATATCAAGGAATATCCAATAAGGTGATATCAGCAATGTGGAAAGTTCATTTGTAAGATAATATCATACAGTTTGGCACTCGTATTTTTGGTTTTCCCTTGCTAACCATTTAAGGTGGCCAGATCATTTTCTACCAATCTACCACTCTATTTGCCGGGATGACCGAAGGAGGTCATCCAAATGTTATTAAGATAGAGGGAAACAATCTACCAGTTCTATTGAAAGCTTGAACCAAAAAGTTTGCTGTATGACTTATTATAGAAAAAGAACTAGCAAACTCCATCAGCTTACCAGTATATTGCCATTGCCTAGGCTGTTCAGTGGATGGTTAGGATTTGTTCCTCCCATGGATCCCACAAGCACGATATGCTTCACTCCAGCAGCTTTGGCTGTTAAAACAAGCAATGTTCACTTAACAAACATTTACAAACTGATACATGAATGATGAAGAAGAATAAGCAACAACCTTACCAGTGTCAATCTGATTCTTTTGGCCAATCCAATCCACCTAACAGACCACAGCAAGTATTAGCATGAGCTCAGAAGTTTACAATCACATTCTATATATTAACTAGAGGGGTTTCAATCAGCCAACCTGCTCAGGATACATTCCATCTTCATAGTAAAACTCAGGCCTCCCACCTTTGCTAGGGTCAAAACCAGGTTTCATCTTTGGCACAGCACTCGTGAGGATTATGAGCGCATCGACACCTTGAACAGCAGGCACAAGATGATCTCTGTCCCTTATGTCGGCAATGTAAACATCATTGCCTCCACCAATCTTTTGTTTGCTTTCCTCTGTTCTCACTAAACCTCTCACAACAAACTGGTCAGACCTTTCCTTGAGCTTGTTGTAGACAATGTTTCCTGACAAGTTACAAGGAGTAACCCTTGAGGATTAGTACAGACTACATAGTGTCGAGCAGTCAGTATACATCCATATAGTTGCAAAAAATCTTAGGCACATGCACTCATATTGGGTGAATTCCGGGTTTGGCGTGGGTTGCTCTGTGGATACCCATTGACCCACTTCAATTAATCGACTAAATTTCAGTTTTCCAAGTCCAAATAGTATATTCAGTTCATTGAGCTAAACTAGAATGGGTTAATCAGTACCCAAGAAGCCCCACTCGTGCCTAAGCCCTAGGTGAATTTTACAAACCTTGCAAATTCAACTCATCATATGACTAGCAGCCATGCGATACAAAGTCTCTTATCCTAGAGAAGATCAAGATACTGCAACACATTACATGAATCCCATTCCGACCAAAATTCCTTTTCAGAACGCTCTACTGGATCCAAAATTCCCCATCATATAACAAGCATGTACTGTAGATCGCACGAACCTTGCACAACAGGCAAATTCCAAATTCCGCTGTCATCAGTTTGCTCCAATACCCCCCCCCCCACCCCCCCAAAAAAAAAAAGAAGTACTGGAGAGCGCGCTACTGGGATTCATATCGCAGTCGGAGGCCACAGGGAGGACGGAGGAGTACCCACCTGTGCGGCCGCCGGCGCCGGTGACGAGGACGGTGGGGCGGGCCGCGCTCGAGTCCGCCATGGAGATCGAGACGAAGACGAAGGCGACGAGTTCACGAGGAGGAGGATTTGGGAAGCATCGAGAAGGTCGCGGCGGTTCGAGGGGGAGGGGTCGCGCTCGCGCATGCCAAGAGTGCGCGCGGCGGGGAAGGTGGCCACGTCACGCTTTGCTCGCCTCGTCCGGCCCAGCAAACAAGCTGCTTGGGTTTCACTTGTGTGTTGGGCCGCGAAGACGGGCTAAAACCCTAGCAATCCCCTCCGCCTCCGTCGTCTTCACCTTCGCCACCGTCACCGCCGCCGCCGCCGGCCGGAGAGGAAGCCATGAGCGGCGCGGGCGGCACCGCCGACTTCTTCTACCGCGAGGCGCAGCGCCTCGGCTACGTCGCCCGCTCCGCGTTCAAGGTCAGCGCCTTCCTCCTCACCCCTCTCGCTCGTACGGTTTGCCAACTGCTCCCGTCTCACGCGAGGAGCCGCTTGCTCTGCCCGTCGCAGCTGATCCAGATACAGAAGCAGCACAAGCTCATCGCCCCCGGCGCCGCCGTCCTCGACCTCGGCTGCGCCCCCGGCGCGTGGCTCCAGGTGACGTTGGATCCCCTCCTCTCCTCTCATCAGCGCGATTTCGATTTAGCTCGGTGTTGCATTGTGTAGGTGGCGTGCCAGAACCTGGGTCCGCTCGAGAAGGGCGGGGTGATCGTCGGCGTCGATGTCAAGGTCAGTGGCGATCGAGTTGCCGTTCGTTAGTGAGGCTGATTTTGCCGACGGAATGGTTGGCCTGATTCGATGCTCGGTTGTTGCAGAGCAGAAGGTGAAGGTTCCATCTGCGCACTGTGACTCGAGGGTCAGGACCGTTTGCGCCGATGTGATGGCTCTGATGAAGCAGCAAGCTCGGGCAATGTCGCCACAGGTTCGATAGCTTGCTAATGATCATGATATGATTCAGCTTTTACTACCGATTTCCCTGGCTTAGTTCGTGGAAGGAATGGTACGAAGTTATACAAATTAGTTTCGTTTGATCCGAGGCTGCAATCTAGTTTGGTTTATTCTAATTTGTGAAATCTTAGTACTAACTGAACTCCATATGTATTCGATTGAGACTCATGATCTTTGCAAAGGAAAACAGTCTTGGAAGGTTCGCACCGAGGATTATTGGTGACTAGTGGTACTTGCGACAAGTGAACTACTCCCCTCGTCCCAAAATATTACAACTTTCAGTTCTCTAGATTTGTCCCAAAATATAATAACTTCTTCACCAATATTCTCTTATCAAACCAATCACAACCCTTCACCATTCAATCCTTATATTCTGGGATAGAGGGAGTATTAGTTTGTACAAATGACAGATGCTACTAATGTTTTACCAGAAAATGCATGCCTCCTTTTCATTCCTTGGGAAGAGCTAGGTACCAAAAATTCCCATGAAATTCCTTTCTTTCAAAGATAAAAGGTATGTACCCTATTTGTCGGTAGGCACGATGGAACCTGATAAAGTGGTTCTGCTACTAGCTAAATAAAATATGATGCCACCAGTTGTGGAGGTAAACGTGTATTTATTCAGTTTTGCCTCCAAATATCAATTTGTCAACTGGGAACACTACCACATAAGGTTGTAACTTGAGAAAAGCTGAGTTTACTTTAGTACGCACGCTGATAGACTACGAAACATGGTTTCATCAATCTTCCCACTACCAAGCTCGCTTCATCTGAATATCTTATTTCCTATGGTTAGAAAGGCTGAAGCAAGGATTACCAATTGTATTGCCCTGTAATCGCCATTGGTTATTTGATTCCCTTATTTTACAGGAACGAGGATTCTCTGTAATATTGTCAGACATGTGCCCAGTAGTTTCTGGAATTACAACCAAAGATGCGGCTATATCTTGCGAGCTGGGCATGCGTGCTCTTTCATTGGCAGTTGGTAAGATGAAAGCAAAAGATTCAGATTGCATTGCAATTTTAGAGAAGTTTCAGAGCTCCACTGAGCCAGATCCTGATGAAGATGGCATTCTCCGTCGTGGAGGCAGCCTTGTAATTAAGTTTCTTGAGAATGAGGATATACCAGGTTATGACCAGCAATCATCTTCTATATGCTAGCTATTCTTTTTTAAAAAAATCCTAACAAGACACCAAGTATAACTTATTATTCATTAAACTGTTAACTTTGTAGGTTTTGGCAAATTTTGCAAAGAGAAGTTCAAGAAAGTGTCCTTATTGAGACCCAAGGCGACAAGATCTAGTTCGAGGGAGATTTTCATGGTCTGTGAAGGTTTACGGTAGAAATAATAGAATGAAGAAGCAGTGCTGACACATTTGAATCTTTGTTGAACTGATTTGATTAGCAATTTTTCTTGTGCACCCCTGTCGCCACACTTTCAGGCCTTGGTATCAGGCAAGCAGTGTATACTTTTCCGGTAATCTTTTCAAGAAAGGCCATTTGCTAAATAGAAAAGCATGAAGCCCGTTCATGAACAATCATTGATGCAGTGTTCCCTTTGTTGCCGAAACTAACCTTACCAAGTTTTGGCAAGGTAACAATCTAAACAATGCCAAAAGTTGCCTCCATTACCAAATTTTCATAATTCTAGAATCTTTTCGCACAACTTACTCTTCTTTGGCCTTATCAGATTCCAAAAAAATTTTGGCCAAAAATGCCACATCTAATGTTTGGACACATGCATGGAGCATTAAATGTTGGAAAAAAAACAATTGTACAATTTGCATGTAAATTGCGAGACAATTCTTTTGTGTCTGATTACATTTGACAATGTGATGCTACAGTAAACATTTGCTAATGATGAATTAATTAGGCAATAAATTCGTCTCGCAGTTTACAGGCGGGAATCTGTAATTTGTTTTGTTATTAGTCTATGTTTAATACTTCAAATGTGTGTTCGCATATTTCAAAGTTTTTACATCCAAAGAACTATAAACACACCCTTATCCTTATCAAACATTGGTAATGCCAAAATTTGTTACTACCAAAATTTGGTAATGTTGATTTAGACATCAAAGTGAGCAACCTATATTAGTTGATTTAGGCATCAAAGTAAAGTTTTGCTTTTAGCTTTGTTCTGTGTGAAGGAAATGCAAATGAATTAGGACCCCCTTTGAAAAGTTCGAATCTTTTTCCAGATCACATTGAACTATTCCATCTGAAAAAACAGTGAACTTATCTAGTACTCGTGGGCTTGTGGCCCAGTTTAATCATCATCCGGTCATGCATGGCGTGTGCTCCGCCGGTGCAGGCCGCGGCTTCTCGGTCGCGCCACGCTGGCATCCACTTTCTCATGGCCCGGCGACGTACGGGACGGGCTCCACGTGTCACGCCGCCGCCCACAGCTTGGTCGTACTCCGGCGAGAGGAGAGATGGAGCCCACTTTCCGAAGAGATATGCTCCACTACCATTCCATATTTCCATTGCAGACCATTTTTCTAGCCTATCCATGGTTCGTCCTGAGTAATCAATGTTTGAGGCTGAGTTTGAACTACTGAGCTAAAGCTGGATCCACTGCAACCACGATATTGGACATGCAAAACTGTGGTTGCCCCATTGGTAGGGTAGGAGCGTAGCGTAGGAGCGTTCGAGGGCCAGGCAGTTGGACTTGCAGGTCCCAGATGTGCAATGATCGCCGCTAAACTAACAGTTTTTTTGTTCTTTTTTTTTAATAAATGCCATAGCCAATTTTTTAAAGCAACATATAGTTACTTTAAGCTAAAAGACAGTCGGCAGCATTGTGTCAAGAGTACTTTCAGCTACCGAGTTTTTGTTTTTTGAATTAAACCGTACTACTGTTGGAGTATATAGGAATTGAGAACTGTTGGGCTTCAAAGAGAGGCTCCCAAGTGCAGTGACCTGAAAGCTCAAGCTCAACCTGCGGCGTTCGTGCGGGTTTGGCACAGAGAATCCGCGGCGGAGCTCTAGACCATTCCGCCACTTTCGACCGACGCGGTTCCCGCGCATTCGCGAGTCGGTGCCACGTAACTCTCCCAACCCCCCTCCCACCACCAGCGACCTCACACCTTTCCCACTGACAAGTGGGTCCCTACATGACCTGGTCCCACTAGTCATTCGGTAAACGAGTAGATTCCGCGGGGCGCGTCCCTTCCCGCCACCCGCAACGCCGCTGGACTCCACTCCACTCTCCTCGTCGCTTCGTTGCTGCACATCACCACCCACCGCGGTGGCACTCACTTCTATATTAGCTTAAGCGTGGTTGCTTGCTTTGCTTGCATAGCTTCGCCATTTCAAATCTTTGCTTAGGAGTAGCGATCGAGAGAGGCAATGGAGGTGGAGATGGGGCACGGAGAGGAGGTGGCGGCGGCGATGGAGGAGGAGGAGCTGCAGGGGTGGGAGACGCCGAGGAGGGAGGAGTGCCGCATCCCGGTGGTGCCGCCGCAGTGCCCGGCGCCGCCGAGGAAGAGGCCGGTGGCGCTGCCGGAGCTGGGGAAGGAGCGGCGGGAGCCGCCCAAGGGCGGGTACTTCCAGCCGCCGGACCTCGAGTCGCTCTTCGTGCTCGCGCCGCCGCGGAGGCAGGCGTCCAGCTGCGCGTAGTGCTGCTGCGCCCAGTCTCCGTGCAGCAGCACGCACAGTGTGTTGGTTGCTGCTACTCCTACATTATAGTAGTGTTACTAGTACAGCTTTAGCCTTTTGTGTAGGGATTGCTGCTAACTCTGCAGTTGCATCTTGTTTGGTGGTTTTTTTTGTGGAGCAAGATGGATGTGCATTTGCTGTTCTGCTTTTGTGATGGGAAGTAGCTGTATCTATCTACCGCCCTGCGTGTGAAATCCTGTTAATTTAGCAGGGGGAAAAAAACCCTATGTATCTATGTACATGTTATTCCAAGTTCAGAAAATGGGAAAAAAATGTTCCTGAACTTCTGAAATGTGACTTGTGCTAACACTACCTTCTGCTATGTGATGTTGTATGAAACGGAACTGCAAAGTGCGGCATCTTCGATTCTATGGTTCGCTAGTTCATCTGCTTAAACTATGGGACGTGCCGATTTCTCCCGACGCTTCGTTGTTTTCGTGTCGAAATCGCATCAAAAGCGTTGAGCGGCGAGCTGCTTTCGTGCAGGTTTCACGAACGTCCCAGGTGCCACAGCCAGCAGCGCCCAGCGCGCGTCCTTGCCCAAAACTCCAAAAGACTCCAAAAGGTCGCGAACAATCGATTGATCAGCCCATAAAGATGTTCACTACAAATTTGGGCCTCAATGTACTAACTCAATAATGGGCCTATTGTTTTCGTAAGGAATTGGTTCATTTGAGAACCCTTAACTTTACGCCGAAACTAACTTGAAAAAATCACACCGAAGGTCCCTCAACTTGTCATCGAGTTACAAAATCGTCCCCCAACCGCAAAAATACCGGACATCCCTCAACTAAAACCGTTCACTTTAGGTTGTTCGGTTGTCCGGTGGTTTTGACCCTGGTTTTATCTTACATGGCGGCTAAGTCAACGTGGGACCCACATGTCAGCATTTGCCACATCAACCTTCTCTCTTTTCCTCTCTTCTCTCCCATCCTCATCTCTCTCTCTCCGTTCTCTACAGCAATGCGAGACGGGAGAGGAGGAGGGCGTCGCCGACCGACGGCCGGCGACGGGAGACGTGGCGGCGAGGGAAGGGGCGGCGCGCGGGCTCCCCCGCCGGCCGCGGCCCACGAGGCGGCGGCGGGGGACGAGCTGCGGGCGGGCGGCGGGAAGGGGCGGCGCGCGGCCGGCGAGAGAGGGCCAGCCTCTGCATCTGAAGACGGAGGAGGAGGGCACGCCGGACGGCCGCGGCAGCGAGAGGGTGGCGGAGAGGAGGAGCAGCGGCGGGGGAGGATGAGTCGGAACAGGTCGATGGTGGACATGCGGAGCCAGCTGCTGCACAGGACGCTGGTGGAGGAGCTCAACAAGCGCCTCTTCTTCAACACCGTTGGCGCCGTCCACGACATCGGCTTCCCCGACCCTACTGCTTCTTCTATCTCTAGCTCTTCCCACCACCGCCGGAGAAGCAACACCAAGATCGACCACAAGCACCACTACATGTTCTGAACAAAATTTTCAGAGCTAGTTATTTTGCTACCCCATCATGTACAGAATCAGATGCAGAGTACGTATGTCACGCGTGATGGAGAGTATGTATTTCACGAGGAGGTTGCCTCGTGCTCCTCCTCTCCCGCCGCCCGCCCGCAGCTCGTCCCCCGCCGCCGCCTCGTGGGCCTCATGGGTGGTGGCCGGCGGGGGAGCCCGCGTGCCGCTCCTTCCCCTGCCACCCGCGCGCCGCGCCTCTCCCGGCCGCCCGCGCGCCGCCCCTTCCCCCGCCGCCGCGTCGCCCGTCGCTGCGTCGCCGGTCTCCGGCTGCAGGTCGCCGGTCGCCGACGGCCTCCTCCTCTCCCGCCTCGCATTGCCGCAGAGAACGGAGAGAGAGAGAGATGAGGATGGGAGAGAAGAGAAGAAAAGAGAGAGAAGGCTGATGTGGTAATGCTGACATATGGGGCCCACCTGGGTTCAACGCTGACTAAGCCGTCATGTAGGACAAAACCAGGGTCAAAATCACAGGAGGATCTGAAGTGAACGGGTCAAAATCATAGGAGGATCTAAAGTGAACGGTTTTGTTAGTTGAGGGAACGTCCGGTATCTGGTTTTGTGGTCGAGGGACGATTTTGTAACTCGATGACAAGTTAAGGGACCTTCGGTGTACTTTTTCCAACTAATTTTCATCCCTGCTGCCGACCCCATCCTCAGGGCCGAGCGCACCATGGCCACCGACCTCGAGGCCATCATGGCTTCCGACTGGTCGTTGAAGCCTCCACACCGCCGCCTTCTCGTAGCAGCCGGTGCCACAGCTAGAAAGAAGTAGTCGAGGACGAAGCGGCCAGTGAAAAGGGGGAGAAGGGGAATGAGGTGTCGCTGGAGATAGAGAGGAGAACGGGGATCACTAATTTTTATCATTTGTCTTACCGACATGTGGGCCCCACAATTGTAAAATAAAATTATTTATCATATTTTTGCTTCCAGTGTCACGTGACCGCCACATTAAATGAAGACCGAATCAAATTTGCCATGTAGACGTCACGTCAGCTTAAATCGTTGTTCAAACCGCCATGGGACCACCGGTTTTGACAATTAAGGGACTTGTTGTATCTAGTTTTCGGTTGAAGGACAAAAATATGATTCGTTGATAAGCTAAGGGACCTTTGATGAACTTATTTCCTTTTCGTAATCCGGGCCCACCAAAGAAAGGATCTGACTAGGTGGGCCCAATGACGACGTGGGGAACCAAAAGACGGCCCGGCCCAAGACGCCTTTTCCACCTGAGGAGGCGAAGCGTAGGTTCAGGAACACTCCGGACTCCTCCGCCGCCGCGTCCCCCGTCTCTCTCGACGACGCCTCGACTGACGAGAGGAGGAGACCTCTCCCTCCCATAAAAGGGGGAGGACGAGGGCGAGGAAGAGGAGGAGGCTTGTGCTGCTTCGTCTTTTCCCGCCGCCGCGCACCGACGCCTGAACCAACTGTCTCGCCGTGAACCCTCGCCGGAGTTGGTAGAGGAGGAGATGGCCAAGGACGGAGGAGGGCCCGACTGGAACGGCCTGCTCAAGTGGAGCCTCGCCCATGGCGACGGCACCGCCAAGCCGCGCTCGCTCAGGTATGCTGCTCCCGCTCGAGCGAGATCTCCTTTCAGTTCGAGTAAGGGGCTGCGTTAAGCTGTGGGGTTGTTCTGGCGGGGGGCGCTAGATCGATGTGCTTCTAGGTACTCTGGAATTAGGCGTGTTTAGTTTAGTTTAGGTTTGAGATAGGGTGTTTGTTCTACTGTAGTCTGCAGGTATACATGCGCTAGCACAATATCACTTGTAGACTGCTAATTCATGTGCAAATTCGCTCGTTAAATTATGATGAATCATCTCATATTTCCTGCTAAATTACTCCTTTATTAACACTGACATGTTAGCTGTCATGTCAGAAATTTGCGCAAATGATACCTATGTGCAGTGGTTGGAATGTGCAATCGATCTGTGGCATGCCAAAACATGTTCATATTGTTCACTGTTATCATGATTTGTTTGGGTTGCAGTGAGGAGGACAAGAAATGGTTTATGGAGGCAATGCAAGCTAATACAATGGATGTTGTTAAGAGGATGAAGGAGATCACCCAAGTGATGAAAACTCCAGATGATGTACTACAGTCTCAAGGTGTGACTCCAGAGAACATCGAAGGTATCATTTTGAGTGTTTTCATTTTCTAAAATTACCTGCTTGTTGTAGACGTGAACAATGAATTTCATATACGCTCAGCACTCTTCATTATTTATTGGCCACCTTGTAGCATTTCCTTCATATTTATACAACTTGTAGAATTTTTGGGATTGTAGGAGTGCGGAAACACTAGCTGAAGAAAGTTTACAAAATCATGGCTAGTAATTTTTGTTAAGTATTTTTTTTGGTAGCATCTGCAAGTAATCATATTTCTATTATTGTGCATTAGATATGCTTATTGTGGGGGCTGGCGTACACATAACTAGTAACGTAAATTTGTAGTGGCTGATTCTCACACGTAAGGTTCCTTTAGGGACAATGCAATTATGAATTCCGTTTTTGTTTTGCCTATTTCCTACAGTTTTCACTTTTCATTTCATATTATCCTTAACAGTTCAACATTAACATATAAAACCCTCCCTAGAATGGGATTGATAGATTTTCTCAGTTTCACTGATCAATGAATTATTACTTTGTTTTCAGATATGTTGGATGAGTTACAGGAGCATGTTGAATCCATTGACATGGCAAATGGTAAGAATCATGGTTACTGTACTTCTGCATTTGTAGATGTTATTCTCTTGACTGCAAAGAATTTTAACATGATTGCATTACCCCACCAGATCTGCACTCTATTGGTGGATTAGATCCCCTACTTGGTTACTTGAAAAATTCACATGCTGGCATCAGAGCAAAGGCTGCAGAGGTTGTGAGCACGATTGTGCAAAATAACCCCAAGAGCCAGCAACTTGTCATGGAATCTAATGGCCTGGAGCCACTGTTGACAAACTTCAGTTCCGATGCAAGCACGAATTCACGCACAAAAGCTCTTGGAGCAATATCATGTAAGTCATTTGCTTCTGTAATAAACCTGGTGCTTTGCCATGACCTAGAACATAATTGCTTCAATTACATATGCTAACTAGAGGTTTCTACTACTGTCTTGCAGCTCTAATTCGTCATAACCAGCCAGGAGTTGCTGCATTCCGCCTGGGAAATGGCTACTCTGCACTGAGAGACGCTCTTGGTTCTGATGATGCTAGACTTCAGAGGTATGTTGTATGATAATCAGGGGAGCTAGTAGGACACTAACATTGCACTATGTTCTTTCTTCATGGTATTTATACTTGTTGAACAATAGGACTATGCGTGGCCTTGATAGCTTAGCCATATATGATAGCATAGCCTAGCACATATTTACTTCTAAACTTAGCCCACAACATTTTTCCAATAAGTGAAGTAACTATTTGGCTGCGCCTACCTGTAGTACTGATTTTTTTTTTGATCTCATTCACATGACTTATTTTTTGCTGCAGTTAAACAATGCAATGCAAACCTGCAATTTTCATAACATTTCTGCTTTATTAATTCCAGGAAAGCTCTCCATCTCCTACAGTACCTACTGCACGACAACAAGGCTGATAGGAGTGTTGCTACAGAGCTTGGTCTTCCAAAGCTGATGATGCACCTGGCATCGAGTGATGATTCTGGAGTCCGGGAGGCTGCCTTAGGTGGTCTTCTCGAGCTGGCGCGGGACAATACATCCGGTGCTGGAAACGTGCTACCTGACCAAGACAAGCTGAAAGATGTCCTTAAGAGCCGAATCGAAGGCATCAGCACAATGGATGCCGACGATCTCTCCGCACATCGTGAGGAGCGACAGCTTGTGGACTCCCTCTGGAAGGAGTGTTACAACGAGCCGTCGTCTCTCAGGGAGAAGGGTCTTGTTGTGCTTCCTGGAGAGGATGCACCTCAACAGCCACCACCGGATGTCGTTGGCAGCATGTTTGAGCCGCCGCTTCGCGCTTGGGCAGCATCAAGGCCACCTCCCAAAGAAGATTCAGAGTCTGAGAGCGCCAAGAAGGATCCACCATTGCTGCTAGGCCCTGGACCGTCTTCCTAGACTTGTTGGGATTGCTTAGTTTTTCGCTTATGCAATTCTCTAGACTTAACCTTAAAAAGATCCTACATATTTGCAATCTGCTGAAATTCTCTGCATTTTAATCCTGTCCTGAGCTCTTGGATGTATTGAGGTTTTTGGATATCTGTAATCTGTGATGCTATTAAAATACGAAGATGAAAGATACTTATCTCTTCCACGATTTGATTTTGAGTCTCTGTGAATTCAATCTTTGTATAATATGTGTCGGTAATCTGTAGACTGGCTGACTGGGGATTAATCAGTTCTCACATGGCTTTGCCTATTTATTGTGAGCTAAGGATGGCCGTCCGATCCTCACTGCTCCACCAGGGCCGCGTGATCTGAACGGTGGTGATGCTGTCTGCTCCAGTTGAAGGCTCGCTGCGAGCCATTCAAAAGCAATTTTTTCTTTCAACCCCATCCACCTCCGGACTCCGGTTGCGTTGCGCCATGGCGCTGCAGCTTCAGGCCGCCACTCCGCATCCCCCTCTTCCTCTCCGCTCCTCACGCCGCCGCTTCGCTGCTCCGCCGTCGCCTCTCGTTCTCCGCGCCGTAGCTTCCTCCCGCGATGGCCCCTCCACGCGCCTCTCCTCTCCTGCGCCCGCGCCGCCTCGCCGCCGGCGGCGTGCGAGCGTGAGGGCCCGCGCCGGCGCGGGCAGAGGCGGCCGGGGGGAGTCCCCGTACGACGTGCTCGGCGTGCCTCCGTCGGCGCCGCCCGAAGAGATCAAGCGCGCGTACCGGCGGCTTGCTCTCAAGTTCCACCCGGACGTCAACAAGGAGGTGCGTGCCACAGCCGCCCCCAAACCTTGTCACCTCCTTGCGTTTCACTGATTATTTGTGTTTGATGTTGTGTCAACGTAGCCCAACGCGCAAGAGAAATTTCTGCGGATCAAGCATGCGTACAACACGCTCATGAATTCAGAGAGCCGGTCCAAGTACGCGAGCACTAGCAGCAACACATATTATTCGTCCAGGACATACGGGAAGAGCAGCACTACTTCAGCTGATGAAGAAGAGCCATTCTATGGCTTTGGTACTGGAATACCTTCTCTTCTGCATTAGTGAGCTATATTATGGTTTCTGTGGTTAGGAATTTCGTGCTAGTGATGAGTAAAATGAAGTTTCAAGAGAGATCCTTTCTGCTAAGAAACAACTGGTAGATTAGATCACATCATAATCCTTGTATTTTGAAACTTCAGTAGATAAATGGAACTCTAGGGTGTGTAGTTACTAGATAGTTGAACTAAAAATGTTCCATTATTTGACATTATACTGTGGTCATGGATCTGCAGGGGATTTCCTTAGAGATCTTCAAGCAGAATTTCAGAACTGGGAAGCCGGTCTGAATTCAGAACAGAAACCTAAAAGCTTGTGGGAAGAGTTGGCAGTAAGTTCTTTACCTGTCTTTTCCACTGTATTATTGTAAACATCTACTGTTGGGAGTGAACACTAATCAATAGTACATAAATACTGCAACTTCTAATCATGCCTATGGTCATTGGTGGTAATCTCCCATTAATTCTATTACATTCTGGTCAATCAGGCCATTGGTGAAGAATTTGTTGAGTTTCTGGAGAACGAACTCAAGATCGATGACTCAAGTGATGCGGAAGACAATGCAAATGATCCGTACACACAGTCTGGAGGCAAAAACAAGCAAGATGTTAATACATCGACAAGTAGCTTTGATGATAGCGTATCTGAGATAGAGGCTGCTTTGGAGAAGCTGAAGAAGGAACTTGGGCTCAGCTGAGCCATTTGATACCGATAGCATAGCATATCATACTGCTGCAACTATAGGTCTATAGCCATCTGCAACTGACTTGGTGTTCTTACGAAGTTATTTCTTATACTCAAATGTTCTTGGATGCATGATACCTATAGCCATCGCAACCTGCTTGGTTGTCTGTGTGCAGGTATTTGATGTACCCATTCTTGTCTTCAGAAGGTGATGGTAGCTCAGATATTGTTAGTTTAGGTGATACAGCTCACAAGTTCAGGGCATCCAGCCTCTTTATAAGATGTTTGTGGTGTCTTGGGTGTGTTCTGCACTTGTGAAATTTTTGGGAGTAAAAGATGATATCCTGTTACACAGTGTATGTTGTCATTTCGTGCGGCCAAAATGGGTTTAATTTTGACATTTCGATGATGAATCTTACATGAATGAATTAATATGCAGTGCTTGTGTAATTATGCTGCTATATGGGCTGCACGTAAGTTGCATTCCCGTTCGGGCCCAGAAAGTGTTCACGGCCCACAACTCCCGATTCCAGTGTCTGAGCCCAGAGCCTCACCCTAACCCGGACCAAACCCGCGCCAAAACCGGCTGGGCCGGTTCCCCAACCCCCGGGATCCACGTATAACGGGCCACCGGACCGACCGGACCGGCTCCACTCCCACTCACAGGCTAACCACCACACACACTCTCTCTCTCTCCTCTGGTTTCTCTCGCGTCGCCTCCTGGTTTTTTCTCCTCCTCATCCGCTTCGCCTCCGGCTCCGTCTCCGGTCCCCTCCGATTTGGTGGCGGCCGCTTCGCCTTCACGAAAAAAAAGCCGGGTGAGTCTCGCCTCTCCCCAATCTCACTCTCTCTCCCCTTCATATCTGGTTCGCCCTGGTTTGCTTGGTTTTGGTCGGTTTATTTTCTGCGATGGCGTCGTCGGCTAATCGGGGATTACTAGGGATTTGATTTGACGCGAGAGGGTGTCGTGTCCCCATCTTCCTTTGGGTTTGTGGGTTTTGGGGGGTATTGCTCGAGAGGAAAATCACCTTCTGATACGAGATTATGTGGCTCTGTCTCTGGAAATGGTTTGAGGTTTTGATTCGGAGTGGGCTGTGCCGTTTCAATGGAAGTTTGTTGGTGTAAAATCCGTGTGAATTCGCAGTTGGTTGGGCTCATATGGTAGGAATTTTTGCGGCAATGGCGGGGAAATGGTAGTAACAGTGTGGGTGTGGTGATGGGTATTGCGATGCAGGAGAGGGTGGTTGCTCGCGGCGGAGATGGCGTCGGAGGCGGAGGCGGAGGTGGCGGCGGGGCCGGAGGTGGTGCTGCCGATCGGCGCGCAGAAGCACGACCCGGCGTGGAAGCACTGCCAGATGGTGAGGTCGGCGGGGCGCGTGAGGCTCAAGTGCGTCTACTGCCACAAGCACTTCCTCGGCGGCGGCATCCACCGCTTCAAGGAGCACCTCGCGAACCGCCCCGGCAACGCGTGCTGCTGCCCCAAGGTGCCCCGCGAGGTGCAGGAGACGATGCTCCACAGCCTCGACGCCGTCGCGGCGAAGAAGAAACGGAAGCAATCGCTGGCCGAGGGCATCAGGCGAATCACCCACTCGGCTCCCGCCGCCGCCGCCTCCGCCTCTCCGCCGGCTCCGGCCGATGCCGCCGAGATGGAGAGCCCCATCCACATGATCCCGCTCAACGAGGTGCTCGACTTGGGCTCCGTTCCACTCGAGGAGACACCACCGGAGACCAGGGAGATGAAGGGGAGTATTAGCAAGAAGAGAAAGAAATTGGCTGCGAGGCAAGCCTCCACGGCGCCCCTTGCTCATCAGAATCAGCAGCCTCTTCAGTCTACTCCTGCTGGTCTGACCCAGCCTTTTCATCAGATGGTCGTGGCGTTTGATTCGGCTGCATCGCAACTGATGCATTTTGACCAGCCCGGCTCGAACAAGGAGCAGGTTTATATGGCAATTGGGAGGTTCTTGTATGACGCTGGTGTGTCACTGGAGGCAGTAAATTCCGTTTACTTTCAGCCTATGCTTGAAGCTGTTGCCTCAGCAGGAGGGAAGCCTGAGGCGTTCTCGTATCACGACTTCCGTGGTTCCATATTGAAGAAGTCGCTGGATGAAGTGACTGCTCAGTTGGAGTTCTACAAGGGATCATGGACCCGGACAGGGTGCACATTGTTGGCCGATGAGTGGACTACTGACAGAGGCAGAACATTAATAAACTTCTCTGTGTATTGCCCGGAAGGTACTATGTTTCTGAAGTCAGTCGATGCAACTGACATTGTCGTGTCGTCAGATCCGCTGTATGAGTTGCTGAAGAATGTGGTTGAGGAAGTTGGTGAGAAAAATGTTGTCCAAGTAATCACAAACAATTCTGAGATTCATGCGGTGGCAGGAAAGAGGCTATGCGAAACTTTTCCTACATTGTTCTGGTCTCAATGCTCTTTCCAGTGCATCGATGGGATGCTTGAAGATTTCAGTAAGGTGGGGGCAATCAATGAGATCATATGTAATGCAAAGGTCATTACGGGATTTATCTATAACAGCGCATTTGCATTTAACTTGATGAAAAGGCATCTTCATGGGAAAGATCTGCTAGTTCCTGCAGAAACTCGTGCTGCTATGAACTTTGTCACACTGAAGAACATGTACAATCTAAAGGATTCTTTGGAAGCCATGATTAGCTCAGATGAATGGATTCACTACTTGCTGCCAAAGAAACCTGGTGGGGTTGAAGTGACCAATCTTATTGGCAATTTGCAGTTTTGGTCTTCGTGTGCTGCAGTGGTTCGCATCACCGAACCACTTGTGCATCTTCTTAAGTTAGTCGGTAGCAATAAGAGGCCATCTATGGGGTATGTTTACGCTGGATTGTATCAGGCCAAAGCAGCAATCAAGAAAGAGCTGGTGAGGAAGAACGACTACATGGCTTACTGGGATATTATTGACTGGAGATGGAACAAGGATGCACCACGACCACTTCATTTAGCTGGTTTTTTCCTGAACCCATTATTTTTCGATGGTGTTCGAGGTGGAACATCAAGTGAGATATTCTCAGGTATGCTAGACTGCGTAGAAAGGTTGGTTTCTGATGTGAAAATCCAAGATAAAATCCAAAAGGAGCTCAATGTATACCGGAGTGAGGCAGCTGGGGATTTTCGTAGGCAAATGGCTATCCGAGCCAGGCACACTTTACCTCCTGGTTAGTACTATACAATTTCCGTTGTGAACTAGCTTACTCAATTGACAAATTATGTTGTCCTAAAAACATGAAATGCATTTTCAGCACCGACCTTTCACAAAACTAGAGCTGTGTTACTATTTCGTTTGATAGACATAATTAATTTCCCCCAGATATAGGTTATTGTTAGACACTTAGATATGATTACGGAAATTGTTTGGTGAGCCTTATAGATTCTATTTTGCAGCTGAATGGTGGTATACGTATGGAGGAGCTTGCCCAAATTTGACGCGTTTAGCAGTTCGCATTCTCAGTCAAACCTGCAGTGCTAAAGGATGTGACCGGAGACACATTTCTTTCGAACAAATTCATGACCAAAGAATGAATCTTTTTGAACGCCAGCGAATGCATCATCTCACATTTGTTCAGTACAATCTAAGGCTACAACACAGGTAATCAAATCCTTATGTTAAATATACCGAGTTTCATTAGCTAGTAAATGATTGATGATGGTGAGCGATCTGATTAATAACTGTCATAGGCAACAACACAAGACCAAAGCATTTGATCCTGTCTCAGTCGACAACATTGACATAGTCGACGATTGGGTTGTGGATAGATCTGCACTTATATCTGGCCAGGCAGAGCAGTCAAACTGGACGGAGATTAACCAACCAGTCAACAATATCACATCAATGGGTCCAAGTGATGATGATGAATTCGAGTCCTTCATTGAAGGTAAATCCTTATACATTACCTTGCTTCCAGTTTATCTTATGTTAATGTTGAAATTTGATATTAAAAGCTCTGAACTTAATCGCAGGAGTTGATGACAAAATGATCCAAGGTGCTTCTCGGGGAACTCAGGAGGATGATGAATAACTCTGAGGAAGAGAGCCGTCACCTGTGCTTATAGGTGGAGTCATTACGATTGGGTAGTAGGGATGCTAGTTTTAGCTTGGATAGGATGTAAACTAATGTTGCATGGAGCCATGGACACAATCTGGCATTGCTTGTCAGTTGTCAACATTTTGCAAGTAGTTCTTTTTTCCTCGGCAACCAATCTAATGTCCTCTGTTTGGAACACAAGAAAGCCCGTTCAGTTCTCGTATGAATCAGAAGAATCCCTAGAACCATGGCCTGAACTGTCTCCATTTGTTGTCATCTTTTTGTTTGATACCTTGCTAATATTTGTCATGTTCATCTTTTGTTGTAAAAGCAGAACATTAGGACAGCATTTTTTTAGGTTTTCATTGTCTTTTTCCCATGATGAGAAGCAGGCTGCAATATCTTTGGTTCCTTTTGAGCAAGGTGCCAATATGTCATATTATATATCGCATGTTTTCTGCATGACAGAATCGACATCAGTGATCAGTCTATTGGCTAATATTCTGATCTGGCTCAACAGCAAACTGCCCCAAGAAAGATGCAGCTACAAAAAAAAAAAGGGGATCCATATTTTTTTTTCTTCCCTTGCAAAATTTCTTACACGGTTCTTGCCTTCTTGCAGGTGTACATTCTTCTGAAACTGCAACAAGGTAACTTCTAAGCTGAATGCTGTACTAATCTTTGATCAAAACCTCTATATGATCATATCTGAAAATGATTGACAGTATCCCTATGTTACTAACTCCAGAAGATCCAAAGCCCAAACAATCACCTAATGCTGCAAGTATTTGCTCACTGACATTTTTACATTTTAAGTTGTCTTCAGAAAATCGGCAGTGCTCAACTGAACACAGCCAACCAGCCGCTGCTGCTCGTCGGTGGACTGCGTCGTCGACGTGGTGATCTCCGACGTGGACGGGAAGCCGGTGACGAACTCGTCGAATGACTCGTCGTAGAACTGCCCCACGCCGCATTCTAGGTCCTCCGGCAACGTCTCCGGCGCCGGCGCGGCGCCTTCCAAGATCTGCACCACCTGCCTCATGCTCGGCCGGCGGCGCGGGTCAGGGTGCGAGCAGAGAAGCCCGAGCTTGAGGACGACCTCGAGATCGTCCTCGTCACAGTCGCCGATCCTGGGGTCCCTCGCCGCCGTGATCTCGCCGGCCTTCCAGTGCTCGAGGACGAGCTCGACGAGCCCCGGCGAGTCGTCGTCGACGGTGAACTCCATGGGCCTCCGGCCGCACGCCACCTCGAGCAAGAAGGCGCCGAAGGCGAAGACGTCGGTGCTCGTGGTGGCCTTGCCGGTCTTGCTCAGCTCCGGCGCGAGGTAGCCGAGCGTGCCGACGATGCGCGTCGTCTGCGGGTTAGCGCCGTGGTCGTAGAGCCGGGCGAGGCCGAAGTCGCTGAGCTTGCCGTTCATGTCGGCGTCGAGGAGCACGTTGCTGGCCTTGATGTCACGGTGCACCACCACCTGCTCCCACCCCTCGTGCAGGTACAGCAGCCCGGCGGCGACGTCCCGGACGATCTTGCCGCGCTTCTCCCAGCTCAGCGCCGGCCGCTCGCCGCCGGCGAACAGGTGCTTGTCGAGGCTGCCGTTCGCCATGTAGTCGTAGACGAGCACCAGCTCGCCGCGGCGCCGGCAGTAGCCGAGCAGCTGCACCAGGTTGCGGTGGCGCAGCCGGCTCATGCTGGCGATCTCCGACACGAACTCCCGCAGCCCCTGCCGCGAGTCGTGCGACACCTTCTTCACGGCGACCTCCACGCCGGACCTCGGCAGCACGCCGTGGTACACGCTGCCGAAGCCGCCGGCGCCGATGACGTCGCGGAACCCCTTGGTCGCGCCGTGGAGGTCCTTGTAGCTGATCCTGTGTGGCCCGTACTCGATCTCCCATTCCTCCTCTTCCTCGGCGTACCGCCGGCTTCGCACCACGAGCGCCGCCACGGCCGCCGCCGCCAGGAGCAGGATCACGACGGAGAGGAGGAGAATTGTCAAGATGATCAGCGGCGGCAACGTCTTCTTGGGTTTGCTCGGCGACGGGAGCCGCGGGAGCTTGGCGAGGTCGAGGTCCTGCGCGCGGCCGCCGCCGCCGAGGCGGAAGCTCCAGCCGAGGACGTAGTGCGAGCTCGCGGCGGCGCCGTTCGCCGCCGAGAACCCGACGTACGTGTCGCCGGCCACGGCGGACGACAGGTTGACGGTGCAAGACACCAGCGGGGCGGCCGGCCTGAGCATGCCGGCCGGCGACACCGTCACCTCGAGCCACGCGCTGTCGCCGTCGTACTCGATCCACACCTGCAGGGGCTCGCCGCCGATCAGGTTGACGCTGGCGAGCTTGCCGCCGGTGGCGGCGTCGTGGTACCCCGCCGGGCTGGAGTTCACGGATTTCAGGCTGTTGTCGTCGATGCCGACGTGGTTGTCGTCGATGTCGGCGAACTCGTCGTCCCGCGCCGTGTCGAGCTCGACGGCGACGATCTTGTTCTTGATCTGGCCCGTGCTGTCGGACGTGTTGAAGAGCCCCAGGTACTTGCCGGCGACGGCGCCGGGGACGGCCACCGACGGCGCCAGCGCGAAGGCGAGGCCGTGGCCATGCGCGTCGGGATACTTGGGCACGATGGCGAACACGAAGGTGGTGGAGAAGGAGGCCGCCGCGCCGGTGGAGGCGTTTCTCAAGCTGACCGGCTTGGGGTAGAAGCCATGGCCGAACACCTCCTTCGTCTCGTTGGTGAGCTGCAGTAGACCGGTGGAGGTGACGGCGGCCGCGCCGCTGGTGGCCACGCCGTCGCCGGAGAAGCCGGGAAACAAGAATTGGTCAACCGCGGCAGCGCCACCTCGAGCAAGAAGAAGCAGGAGAGCGACCAGCTCAACCAGCCACCGCCGCTGCCGCCACCGGAGCACGGCAAGAACGGCTGCCGGCGCCGCCATGGCAGAGAGCAATGTACAAATTAACCCAAGTGAAGTAGTAGCTGAAGGAGTTGAACAGTTTAGTTGTTGGAGTTGGGCAGCAGCCGCCGTCGCTGGCACTGTTGCTGGTCTGGTCGTCGGCGACGGTGACGGCGACGATGCGAGGTGCACGGCGACGTCGGCGAGAGGGACATGGAGATGGACGGCATTGGAGGGTAGGAGCTCAGCACATATAAGCTTCAACTGCCTACAAAGATTTCACGTTGCTAGCTAAGCTTGTGCTAGAGCCTGCAGGGAGTGCGTGCACACTCTGGGCCCCTTTTCCACTTGTTTTTTCTTTTCCTTCCCTTCAGAAATGAGAAGCAGACAGAACAAGGACAGCCAATTGAGATCGATCGGGGCTTCGCATACTATTCGTGATCTTTTTTGTTTTCAAATAGACAAATCTAATATAAGATACTCCCTTATTTTAATTGCAGCCATGATTTTTCGTGTACAATTTTGACCGTCAGTTTTATTTGAAATTTTTTTGAAAAATTTAAAAGACATAAGTCACATATAAAGTAGTAAAGTACTGTCCATATTTTATCATCTCACAACAATAAAAATACTAATTATAGAAAATTTTTAAATAAGATAGTTGATTAAAGTTGGGCACAAAAACTTATAGTTGCACTTAAAATGGGACGAAGAGAATATTTCCTCCATCCAAAATATAAATAATTTTAAGGTTGGCACGGGTATTAAGGAAGTAAGTAAGAATGATTGAAGAAATTGTGTGATTGATTGAAAAGATAAATTAGGTGAAAGAGAATGGTTGTGATTGGTTGAGAGGAGGTAGATGAAGAAATAGTTTCATTTTGGGATAAGATGTTGTGCTAGAAATAGCTACTCTCTTCGTTTCAGGTTATAAGTCGTTTTGACTTTGGTCAAAGTCAAACTGCTTCAGTTTGACCAAATTTATAGAAAAAATAGTAATATTTTCGACCCAAGATAATTTTATTATAAAAATATATTTAATTATCAATTTAATAAAACTAATTTAGTAATGTAAATATTACTATATTTGTGTATAAATTTGGTCGAACTTAAAATAGTTCAACTTTAACCAAAGTCAAACGACTTATAACCTGAAACGGAGGGAGTATATTTTGGGATAGAGGTAGTACTTCCTCTATCTCTAAATATAATGATTTTGGATTGAATGTGACACATTCTAGTACAATGAATCTGAATAGATAATACAATGAATCTAGACAGTTGGACAGAAAAACCGTCCAGATTCATTGTTCACATCCAGGCAAAAGCCCTTATGAGATAGAGCGAGTATAATACATCTTAATAGGAGTACTATAAATTTCAATATCGTATTAGATATATTTTTTAGAATGTGAAGTGTATGTGCTGGAGTACTTGGGTGTGTTTTTTTAAAAGGGGTTGACTGTTGAGAACCTTCTTCCTACCATGTGAAACAAAGCAACAGATTAGTGTATGATTAATTAAATATTAGCTTAAAAAACTAAATAAATATATTAATATGATTTTATAAAGTAATTATCTTATCTTTAGAAGAGAACATCATTTATCAATTTAAAAATGTGCTTGCAAAAAATGAGAGAGCATAAGGGTCTTTCACAAAAAGAAATTTTTTGGGTGTCACATCGGATATTTGACCGGATATCGGAAAGGGTTTTCGGACTCGAATGAAAAAATTAATTTCATAACTCGCTTGAAAATCGCGAGACGAATCTTTTGTGTCTAATTAAGCCGCCATTAGCACATGTGAGTTCCTGTAGCATTTTATGGCTAATCATGGACTAATTATGCTCAAAAGATTCGTCTCGCGATTTTCATGCAAATTGTGCAATTAGTTTTTATTTTTATCTATATTTAATACGCCATGCATGTGTCAAAGATTTTACATGTGACATTTTTGGAAAAAAAAATTAGAAACTAAAAAAATTCCAAAGATGCATTGTAAACGCCCTAAGAGCAGGTACAATAGCAGGCTATAAGCCAGCTACAAACATATTTTAAGGAGATAAATAATGAGAGAGAAGAGCAGCGAGCTACAGATTTGTAGCCAGCTGTAGCACGGACTCCAAGACGCATTGTGTGTATGACAGGTGGGACCAGGTATTAATAGTGTAATATGTAACTATTGTATATATGAGCTATTAGATTGGCTATAGATGAATTAGAGCTAGTAGTTGGCTATACTATTAAATTTGCTCTAAGCCAGGCCTATCCTCAACCTATCCTAGCTAGTTGTCACCTACCCCCTCCATCGAAAAAAACAGATAATTTCTAGGGTTTGAATCTGGACGAATGAATGTCCAGGTTCATTTCAGGACGGATAGAGTACAGAGCTGCAAGCAAACAGTGGGCAATAAACTAGTACTAGTTATAAAAATTAAAAAGTAAAAAGAAGAGAAAAATTAACTCAGGTACGGAGGAAAGGAAAAAAAAACGTTTGCTGGGTTTCGTCTACGGCGAGGACCACTTGGGTGTCCTGTTTGCGTCGTTTCGTAGACGCCGACCACCGGCAGTCGAGTACGCTGGCACGTGCGCAGCGTGTGCAAACAGTGCCATGCCTCACTGTCCAAGTGATATATCGATCGTCCATGGCTAGTGGCTACACGTACCCAAACGTAGACACAGAGATGGAGCAAGAACGCTGTAATAAATAAGCCCGTGTCACCCGTCAATATCTACGGACTATTCTATTTCATGTCCTTTGCCCACATTAACTTATTACTAGTAAAAGAGTATAAAAATTAATTTATAGGTAAAACTTTTATATATATGTTCTTAGTGATTTAAAAATCAAGAGTGAAGTGCACGAGCGGTCTCTAAACTTGTGTGGGTGTGTCATCTAGGTCCCTAAACTCTCAAAATGCATTTTCGGATCCTTGAACTTGTTTTGGGGTGTCATACAAGTCCAAACGAGCTCCAACCCCTTCCATGCGCTGATGTGGCATGCCACGATAGTTCATACGTGTTAGTTGGACCCACGTATCAGTCACATAGAAAAAAAATATAATTAGAAAAATATATTTTCTCCTCTCTCTACCTTAAAATTTTTATCTTTTTTTCTGTCTACCTAATAGGAGAAAATATGGTTTTTAATTTTATTTTTTATATATGCTTGACATGTGGATTCCACTGACACGTAGGCGTCACCGTGGCATTGCCACGTCAGCACATCGAGTGGGTTAGAACCTGTTTGGACCTATATAACACACATAGCAAGTTCAGGGATCTAAAAATGCATTTTAGGAGTTCAGAGATCTAGATGACACACTGGCACAAGTTTAGGGACCGCCCATGTACTTCACTCAAAAATTAATATAGAAAACTACGTTGAACATATATTAAAATCAACATCAAAATTATTTTTTAAAATAAAAATTTTAGCTTTTACTTTGGTTTATTAGGGCAACCAATAGGGCTCCCACTTTTTTAATTCTATAACTATATATTCTTAGATAAAATTCTAAACTGTTTGACTTCAGTTAAGATTATTTTTTTATCTGACTTTTTTTAGAACTTTTTAATCTGACTTCTCTAAAGATTCTTACAGAAGCTATAACTGTCGGAACCTCGAGGCTGCAGTCTCCTGGAGTCCCGGTGATTTTCATGGCAATTCTTGCCGGTTAGTGGTAGATATCCAAATGAGCCAGGAGCTGATGGGGATATAATGCATTTCACGTTTCACCTCCTCTTGTTCTTGAATGCATCCATACACTAGTGGAGAAATGCTTTTTAGTCCCGGTTTTCCAACCGGGACTACGAATCCGGGACTATCTTTAGTCCCGGTTCAAATAACCGGGACTAAAAATCAATCTTTAGTCCCGGTTGATGTTACCAACCGGGACTAAAGATGGGAGAATCTTTAGTTCCGGTTGATAACACCAACCGGGACTAAAGATATTTTTTCTTTTTTTTTCTGCTTTTAATATTGAATATTGATTTCACACCATCCCCTCTCATATCCAAATCATCACATATTACAGAACATCTCCAAATCCTCAAACAAATCATCTCCAAATACATCACAAACTCTTAAAAAAATTACATCACAGGGTTCTAAAAATTCATCACAGATTCACATCTCACACAAAAATACATCACAGATTCACATCTCAAAAAAAAAAGAAAAAAAATCCGGCCGGCGGCCACTGCCGCCTCCCCTCCTCCCATCCGCGCCGGCCGGCCAGCGCCGCGTCGGTCGCCGCCGAGCGGCCGCCCACTGCAGCCGCCGCCTCCGCGCGGCCCCCGGCACCGCCGCGCGGCCTCCTGCGCCGCCGCGCCGGCCGCCCACCGCCGCCGCCGCGCGGCCCCCTGCGCTGCCGCACCGGCCGCCGCGCAGGCCGCCTCCGCGCCGTCCCCCGCGTCGCCGCCTCCGCGCCGACCGCCTGCACTGTGGTGAAGGAAAAAAGGAAGGAGAGGAGGGGAGTTAGAGATAAGGAAAGAGATAAGAAGTTAGAGAGGAAAAAAAGAGATAGAGGGAGGAGTTTGTTGTGTGGACGGGAAAAGAGGATCGGTACTATGGATTATATAGTGTGTTTTGATTTTTATTCCCGGTTAGTAACACCAACCGGGACTAAAAATAGGTTTTTAGTCCCGGTTGGTGTTACTAACCGAGACTAAAGATCATAGGGCCCTGACACAGCCTGACATGGAATCAACCGGGACTAAAAATGAACTTTTGTCCCGGTTGGAGTTACCAACCGGGAGTAAAGATGATTTTTAGTCCCGGTTGGTAACAACAACCGGGACTAAAGATCTTCCTCTTATTAACCAGGACTAAAAATCATTTTTAGTCCCGGTTTTTAATGGAACCGGGACTATTGTGGATATGGGTCGACCGACCAAAGATGGTTTCTCTACCAGTGATATCATTGTCACCACCTAACTAGACGAAGTCCATCTCCACTATGTGATCGTATCTTCTGCTAAACGCGAATGTTTTAAAGAATTTCACGTCCTGAAAATGATTTGTTTTGTTTGATTCGCGAGATTTTCATGCCTGGAAAGCATGGATTCTTCACATGTGCCAACGTGCAACGCTGGGATCCTTGGGATAATTCTCTACTTTACGTGCTCGCATGACTCGCCTACTGGATCTGTGGTGTTCTTTTTTTACCCCAAGAAATCTGAAGTTTCTGAAAGTAAATGAATCTACTATACCTAGTATTTTTAAAGAGTATATCTCCTGCACACAGGATCAAATCCGGGGCGTTGGAAGCTGATCGGATCACGGATTATTCACGGGGAGAGATGAAATCATGAAGGAAATGGGGGTAGTGAACTGATAGATCGATGATGGACAGGTACACGTGAGGCCCATTGCGGCGACAGCGAAGAAGCAGCCATGGCTGGTCAAGGAACGCGTGCGGAGTTGAGAACGGCAGAGTTGCAGAAGACGGAATTTATCCCGGTGGTTGCACCGGTCCTGTCCTTCCTGCAGGGAACCCAAAGCTCCCGTCGATCGATCGGTCAGTCTAAACAACCTCGTTGCTGGTCTCAGAGTTTCAGATTTGGCTGTCCTGCAGAGAAGAAGACGACGGCATGACTCGAGTCTTGCAAGTGTGCAAGCACTCGTCAGGCCTAGCTTGCCACGTCAGAAAAAATTGACGTGGATCGCTGACATGTGAACCTACAAGATGTGATGCTCCTCAAATCCCTTAAAAATCAGAGAATGACAAGTTATAAGATTTGTTTAATCCAGTCTATCAAGCAGGGTGCATGTCTACGGAGGCCTAAGGATCCGGTCGTAGCGGCTGCTGAGCTCCGTCGATCTGGTCCTCTACTGCTATTTAGTTTCATCTGGAAGTTTGCTTTCTTAGATTGGTTAGCCTCTACCTTATTAGAGATGGTCTCTTTGTTTGTGTTATATCCTTCTGCGATGTACTAGGGTTTAGCTCCTTAACTCTGTCTTTCTCTAATAAAGTTGCTTAAATTAAAAAAAAAAGCTACACTATGAACAAATTTCACTGTGGGAGAAAAAACATTTTACACGTGTGCCCTTCAGCCTAAGTAACGGCCACGTTCGCATCGGAGGGTTGCATTTTTCATGCCATCGTTCCAACAGGCCAAGCTTTGATTGGATTCTGAATGAGTGGTTCTTCTACCATTGTGTGAGCAGGGCAATTTTGTTCGGCTTGCTGCATTTGGTCAGTCGTTTGATGTTGCAGCTCGTCTACTGCCCTCTAGAATGATTGGATTCTTGCTTGCCATGATGTTACCATCATGATGGCAAAGCATCAGTGAACCATGAAAGCTCAACTCTTGTTTTGGGAATAATCACTGATTGGTTAGACGATTGAGTTAGGCTTCATGATCAAGGAAGAGAAATAAAAAAGAAACACCGTATTGAGCTAAAAGGACCGAAGGAAAGAACTTCATAAACAATAATATTACAACCAGGGCGCCATACCAAGCACGTCAGGCAAATCGTCTTGTCACGTAACAAACGTCAAAAATTCTACAGCTGAGTTCAATTCTAATATGGGCAAAAGATGTTATATTTTCAGCATTTTTGTTTGATTATTAAATTCGTTGATCGTGATATAAGCTTGGTCCACCAATGTTAAGTTAGTCTAGAGGCAAATGCTTAATGGGTTTATAGCGATAGACATTAACGTTTCCTGAGCGACAGGTTCCAACTTCATGTCCCCATTTACAGCGATGTTGAGTTAGTTCATACTTCATACGCGTACTCTTCTGCTACGGAGTACCACATTAAGTCTCGCTAGTAATAATTTAATTAACTGTGTTACACTGGCAAAAAAAAAAATAGCACCAGTCCAGTGTTGACCAAAAAAAATAGCACTTCAAGAACAGCTTTTTTGGATTTCTCTAGAATATTTTTAGTCCAAACAAGAATTTACATGTACAAAATACTACATGTACGACTATATTAATCACATAAATCGACTGAACAAATTTACACCGACACGTATCAACCTCATCTAATGAACACATAGCAACTTGCCCTCAAAAAAAACACACACACACATACAACTTGAGTACCAGTGAGCTTACTTCAGGAGCTTGGATTCGATCTCCTCCAATGTAAGTCCTTTAGTCTCTGGAACTTTTAGGATGACAAACACAAGGGAGAGCAACGATATGGCTCCAAATAGAAGGAAAATATTGGCTGGTCCAAGGAATTCCTGCACCAAACAAGGCGTGCATTGCCGGCAAAAGAGTTTAGTTTGTTCATCTATTTTTTGGGGGAGAAACTGGTAAAATACGTAGTGTTGATTCTAGATAGAAGAAGAGGCTGATTTTTTTAAACTTATTTTTTAGTTTAAATGGGAAGGGCTAAAAAAACGCTGGCTTTGGAGGGGGAAACATCATGAGATAAATATATATGTGAGGTGACAACAATCTGGGTGAACGTACCTGCAAGGGTGAAAAGGCAAATGTCACCAGTGCATTTGAGCCGAAATTTGTAAGTACTGCAAGGCTGATCCCACGTCCTCTTGTTCGGAGTGGGAAGATCTCAGAAACCATTAGCCAACTTATTGGACCAAACGATACCTGCAAACACAAGGACAACATAAATTTCTTGCACTAGTCATAGACCGTTTCTACAGAAAGTAAAGGCACCGACCTGGTAAGAACCGACATACAGAAGTAAAGCACCAACAGCGACAAAAGGGAAGCTGTTCAGAATCTTGTAGTAAGCTGCTAATAAGAACAGTGAAACAGCCTGCATTTCCAGGGAATAGAAAGCATAAGCATAATTTATTCAGAACATGTTTGATCAAAACTTGGTTAAGCATCCAGTTTCTTAGTATCCACATCAAGCAAGACTATCAATGAGTACAAATAACTGGGGAGGTGCCAAGGTGATGAAAATGACACTTTCCATGCATCCATAGAACTTAAACAAGTCTGTAAGAATTACTCACTATTCCACCAATGCCTCCTATAAGTAGTGGACGCCTTCCAAGATCGTCAACTTTAAATACTGCAACACCTGTCATCAACAACTGCAAATAATAGAAATATTACACAGAGGTTCAAAAAAAAGTGTAAGCTCTATACCTTTCCACCTACCATCTGGATAACAAAATAGATATCTAATTCTCCCTATATATATACTAGATTATAAAAATAATTTAGCTTCATAGAATTACCTTGAACAACCCAATCAAAATTGATACTTTGGCAGCATCAGATGCAGCTGCAAACCCAGCAGTCTGTTGAAGATAGAATGGATTTAATTGTATGTATCAGGGCACACAGCCATATGGAGAACTAAGTCTTATTCTGTCTGTCCTTGTATGAAAAGAAACTCAGAGGTACCTGAAGAATGGAAGTTGCATAGTATAGAACACTTGGCTGGCCTGTTATCTGAAATAATAGTTTAATTAATATCAGTGCTTTAGTTCCATATAACAAAGAAGTAACATTAGTCAACTATTAAAAAATCAAGAAATGACCAAAGCAGGATGAAATGAATAGACAGGTCATTATCTTTCTTCTTTTTCTACCTCAACTTGGACATAATAACTTTCACTGAACTTAGGGCACATAATTTCAAATTTAAAAGGATGATCAAAGCACGGTCAGATTTCATATTTAGATGTGTTGCTTCCAAGTGGGCTGATGAGGACAAAACCTGCTGGAAGAGAACCAGTCCTCCTCCAATGATGAGTGCCTTCAAGCTAGCTCCCTCAAACATCTTCCAAATGTTCCCTTCAGATTCTTGTTCTGCATAAGCAGCCTTAATAGAGAGAAGGGTATCATCAATCTCATCTGCTAAGACCCTGTCACTCCTAAAGCGCCCCCTCAGTGATCTCAATGCCTGAATTGCCTTCTTTTTGTTATCTTCCACTGACGCCTTTCCTTGAACTGCCCTGAGAAGAAGCCATCTTGGTGAAGGCGGTAAATTCCACATACCAATAGCCATTATTACTGCCAGTGGAGCACCAAAACCAAACATATAACGCCATCCTCCTACCACATCAATTTCAAGACTCCCTACAAGGTATCCAGTCTGCAAAATATTGTATTAATAGTCAACTAGTCAAGTACACCCTCCGTCCTAGAAGAAAACCCACTTCTGGGTCTTGAATCTGGACATAGGCTATGTCCAGATTCAAACCCAGTAGTTTTTTTTTTTTTTTTGGGGGGGGGGGGGGGGGAGGGGGACAGAGGGAGTAGTCAGCAGGGGATAGATGGGTATACTTAAAAGTGTGTAGCAGTTGGAAGAGAGATATACCAGTATTCCTAATACAATAAACAACTCCTTTAAAGATATCAATGTCCCACGTATTCGCGAAGGAGAAGTCTCTGCAATATAAAGAGGTGCACCGTGCATCGCCTGGCACAAAGCATGGTGATTCAGTGATGTTACATAACCCCATGATGTAATATACATGGACACAACAATGATTCATTATCTCCAAACCTTTAGTTTGATATGAATATGTTCATTTGCATTTATGTTCCTCTTCAGTTATTATTAACACCTTTCTAACAAAGCATCGGCAGTTTAGATATTTGCGGATTTTTTTAGTTGGCAGTAAACAAATATACTGTTTGTAGTATTAACTAGAAAAAATGCCCGTGCGTTGCAACGGGTAAAAGCGTTTTTTTATACAACATCTATTAGAAGTTGAACAATAAATTAAAATATTGAAATCACTATACATTATAATGCAAAAGGTTCACTAAAATCATTCCTTCCTTATAAGCCCCAGCTCAGTCTGCTGCCTCTATATATCTCTGCTCGGCTCGGCTCTCTTCGACCCAGCCCACAAATGGAGCCACAGGCTCAGATAGCATAGTCATATATCTTCTCTCGTTGCCAAGCCAAACCCACGCGCTTTAGTAGCATCTTCAACCTCCGGGAGACAGTCCCATATCTATACAATACCGAAGCTGATCATCATATCAAATCCGGCCAAATCTTTCTCGATCTCCCAAAATTAGTTGAGGTTTTTTTACCCACACGATATTTTCTTTCCGTTTCCCTCAAAATCGGAGTGATTCACAAAACTTGGGATAAAAAGGTCAGGGGAAGCTCGGAAGCTCGCCGGCTGGCCATCATTCGTGTGCAGTGGATTGGTATGGACAGCGTACGAAAAGAAATATGCGGAATCCTTGTGTATCTTTTATTAGTAATTCTTCCTCCCCCAACCCGAGCTGAGACCACCGAGAAATATGCGTGTAAAGATTATTTGATGTCTGTGTTGATAATGTTTGGTTAAATTTATTGGGTCTGATTAGTAAAATTATCCCATTATTGTAATAATTTATGTTAGATGGTATTATTTTCTATATCTCTTCCACTTATACGTGGTGTTCATTATTTTTGGTATATACAAATTTTTTCCATGGTTTTACCAGCTGGCTTAGGCTGTTTTCCTCATCTTTTTCCCCAACGCCACAAACCAGGTCGGGCCTTCTTCAAGGCCCAGGTCAGGCCTTCTTTTTGGCGTGACCGTGTTTGGGCTTCTAACTTAAATTTGTTAATTTGGTTAACAGAAACAGGACTTCGCTAATTGTGCGGGGATAAAAGAGTCTCTCGGACATGGGTTTTGACGGACGAAATTTTTACCGGAAGCTTTATGTATTTTTTTAATTAGGTATAGATATCTGCCGCAACACTGAGTAACAACAATGTCCAAAGTTCATATGGAAAGACCTTGTCCCAAATGATGGATTTCAACTACAAGCATTCACAATATTGCCATATCTGGAAGGATCAAACGCGTTCATGGTTCCTTTCCACTTATTTTATAATTAATTCCACCAAAATGTGGTCATCAAGCTACACTGTTACTAAATCTGGAAGTAATGAGTCATTTGCAGTCCAAGTATACAGATTATGCAGTTCAGTTTCCTCTCTTAAAGTTTTCATGTGCTACCCAACTCAAAAAGATATATAACTATTGGTCCTCTGACATTCATCTACATGAATTTATACTTTTACTTGTTCAATAACAGTGGCATTGCATTTTGGGGAGAAAAAAGGTTGCCTCAGAGTTACTCACCAAACCAATACCGATACCATAGAGGAGACGGCCTATGATCAGAAGTACAAAATCAGGTGCAAATCCAGTGACCAGAGCACCAGAAATATATAAAGCTGCAGCTGTGACCAGTTCTATTCTTCTTCCTGAACCAAGGATGGTAGTAGTAGACTAGCAGTCAATTTTCTTGCTAAAGATTATACAGTAAGGAAAAAAAACGAAAAACATTTTTTTTCGAATCACCTAGAAAATCGGCAACGCGATATGCAAGAAGCGAACCACCAAGAGCACCATAGAGTGAACCGCTTGCCTAAATTGGATGACAAAAAATCACATTAAAGACAGTAGTGTTCTTGATTGGGAAAACAAAAAGTTTGGTAAGCATGAAAATATCTAAAAAATTACCACGAGCCCTAGCTGTATAGATGACAGGCTGAACCAAGTGGTTCCACTGAGTTCAGCAGACTGGAGGAATAAACACCATTAGAGTGAATCAATACATGACAACTATAACAGATTGCATAGCCAACCAAAATAGGGACTAACTTGCAGAGATATGCATGCTCCAGAGGTTGCGCCAATGTCATAACCAAAAAGGAGTCCTCCCAATGCAGGGAACAAGAACCTAGGTTCCAAACATTGACCCACAAGTAGTTAAAGCTTGATATATTTTCCAATTTCCCCTTTATGCTTTTGTTTTTTTATCCATATTCCAAGCCGTATTAATATAATAACCACCAATGGTTTACATCCAACTATAACATTTGTCTTCAGTATGTAATCAAAATACTATGCAAACCTATCATCTCCTGAATTATAATATGTTCTTATCTAGCATTAAAGCAGAGAAGAGAAGACAGTGCAGAATTATATTGCATCTTACTTACAATGCATTGTACAGTCTGCCCTAATTTAATATGATTGTTCTCATCAACACGATGAAACAAGCAATATCTACTGAACAGTTAAAAAGCATTCTCTCTCCCTTGAATTGAAATTAGGTGCCAATGCTATCCCTCAACATTGGGAAGCTAGAACCAAACTAGAAATGCATTCCTCTTATCACCTATCACTGTCCGATTTTATCCCCAAATGTCACTGACCAAAGAGATGGAGAGGGGAGCTATCTTACGGAAGGATGATGGACGACCACGAGAACTCCTTCCCGGCCGCGCCATCTCCGGCGCCACCGCTGGAGGGCGCCTCGCCGCCCTGCGCATGTGTCCGCACCTGCACATCCACCTCCATGTCGTCAAAAACCACGACCACTACCAGCACCTTGCCCCAGGATAGAAGAAGCGACGACGGCTATAATTAGGGCGCGGAGGATTAGGGTCAGGATTCCGCACGCGGAGCCTGGGGTTGGAGGTCGCCGTCGCCGCCGCCGCCGCGGCGGCGGCGGCGCCGGTGGTGCGGAGGAGCGGCTCGGCGGCCTGCGACGACACGTGGAAGGCGTCCATCGCCGCCGCGGATCGACCTGGAGACGCCAATCCACGAGCCCCGCGTGGGCGGGGAGCGTTGGTCGGCGCAGCCGCGATGGCGTGGGGGCTGGTGGTGAGTGACGACGAGGGGAACAACCCAACCTTCGCCGCCATGGCCGCGATTATAGTGAAAGTGAATCGAGCCTCACCTCGTGCTCGCGCGAGAAATAAAACAATTACTTTAATCGTTCATAATCTATTCATATCCACATTACAAAAACCACCACATATTTTTAGAAAACTTAATCTAAACACCACAATTTTTCTAAAAATTGAGCAAATTTTTCATAAATTTATTACTTCTAGTGAGTTCAAGAAGCGACAAAAAACGAAAGCAGGGACTGTTTAGTTTTCCAATTGCAAGCAAACGCTAGCAAAGGACCAAAATTTAATTTTGAAAATTGGCAAGGGCCGCGCGAACGCGTACCCCCTCCACCACAAATTATGACGTCCACTCTCCCACTTGGGGAGATGGTAAGCCAACGCGCCCACCAAGTGCAATGTGGGCCATTGGCCTAGGCCACGAGCCTTCCTGATCGCCCGTTGACCCCGTCCAGGTAAGTATGGAGCAACGGATCTCGGGGTTCTGTACTTATACCGAAAGAGCACCAGGCAATCGACGCAAACTTTCGAGGTGGTACTAATGTGGAGCAACGCAGAGTTCTTTTCGGTTTCCATCTCGTGTTCTGACTTCTGAGAGGTTTTGTGCTAGCTTGGGCTGCCAAAATAAGGCGGTTTGTAATGGACCTTGTATTACAGGCCGTTGCAATCCTAGACAGGTGTAATCTGTTGGGTTGGACCGGTAATGGTCTCGGGTTTGATTGTGTTGGGCTTACATTAGAGAAGCCATTTATTTGTTACTTTTTATTTTCTTCAGATAACTATATCTGGCATATATTTCCAAGAAAACATATGCAGGCTAAACTTGATTGTTATGCATAGCATTTTCCATGAAAATTTACGGGTATCTGATGTATTAAATTCATGACTCGCTGTGTCGTGATTCAGAAAGGAGTAGACACTAGTATCCTATTCTTTTGTCAATGAAACATCAGGGCAGCATCGTACTTGAATTCTCGTTTGCCATCTTTTAGAGGGCATCATCTTACACATATATGTCTAAATTCATTAACATCTATATAAATGTGGACAATGCTAGAAAGTTTTATAATATGAAATGGAGGAAGTAGATGATTTGTCCGTGCAAGCCAGGAGCTCTGCTTCTTCTGCCTCTACACAACGCCTTAGGAATTTCCAAGATGACAGGAGAACTTGTCCATCTGAATTTCTAACCACGAGTCCGATTGCTCCTCTACCAGTTTCTGGGTTGAAAGCTCCAACGACATTGAGCAACGACGCTGATGATTCAAGTTCCCAGGAGCACCTTGTTCCTTCAGCCTTCCTTTCATGCCAATTGTCTTCCCTTTATGATTATCGCTGGTTTGTCGGACGGGGAGCAGTGCTTCAGCTAAGGTAAACACCACCAAGCCTTTAACTGAAGCCTGGCCAATCACGTTCTCCAAAGGATGAAGAGTATTTCCGCCCTCGTTAGCTGGTGCCTGGTATTCTAGTGCTGTCCTAGTTAGCTGGTATCCCCAGAAGTAGTTTAAGTGGTTGTTTGAGAAGTTGGTTTTTGTGTGTGTTCTAGTGCTGTCCTAGTTTAGCTGGTATTCCCCAGTTTTCCTGAAGTGGTTGCTGTGTTCGTTTTGTTTTGTTTCCTGTAATGAACTCTGCTTGATTTGGACCTTCTCTTCGAAAAATAACAATGTTTAATGATAGATGCAAAACTTACCAGCGCAAACCCAAATCCAAAATTTTAATTTAAGAGATTGACATGGCTCGTAAACCCAACGGACCAAAACCGAAAATTCAGGATACAAGGAGCCTATGCAATCAAGAACCAAAACCAACAGTAGCAAGAACCAAAATTTAATTTAAGAGAATTGGTAGAGGCCGCGCGAAAGCATACGAATGCAATAAAGAACTTAAACTTAACCAACAATAGCAAGGACCGAAATTTAATCTAAGAGAGTTGGCAGGGGCCGCGCGGACGCGTACCCCCTCTACCACAAATTATGACGTCCACTCTCCCACTTGGGGAGATGGTAAGCTAACGCGCCCACCAAGTGCAATGTGGGCCATTGGCCTAGGCCACGAGCCTTCTTGATCGCCCGTTGACCCCGTCCAGGTAAGTATGGAGCAATAGTGCACGGGGCTCTCTACTTATAGCCATCTCTCCCACCCGCACCTCCTCGACTCCGCGAGGTGGTACTAATCCCCGACGCTTCCACCCGTTTTCGGTAGGAATTTTTTTTATTTATAATTTTTTTTATTAAAAGTTTTACAAAAATAATTTTCCATTTTGAAAATTGACGGGAGTAGTCGCCTACCGCCCTCTGGGAGGGCGAGGCGAAAATGACGTGGCAGCCGGCCGTTCGCTCTCGGGCGACGGCCGTCAACGAAATTTGCAGGCGGCCCCCTTGCCGCCCTCCGCTAGGGCGATTTTATACTGTGCGGGGGGCCGCCTGCAAATGAGCGGCGAGGGGGGGCATGGAATTTTGCAGCGGCCCCCTTGCCGCCCTCCGCTAGGGCGATTTTGTACTGTGCAGGGGGCCGCCTGCAAATGGGCGGCGAGGGGGCATGGAATTTTGCAGGCGGCCCCCTTGCCGCCCTGGGGGAGGGCGATTTTATAGTGTGCTCTATATTTTTTAATAAATATCAATAGTTATCAAATCTTTTTATATTGAAAATTATACAAGATTAAAATCTCCAAGACTGGTAAAATACAATTTTATTATTTTTAGGGCATATTTGGATTGTTACCGTACAAATATTTTGTTTGTGCCAAAATATAAGCAAGTTTTGGCACTACCAAATATTTGGTAAGGTAAAATTGCATTTGATCATATTTGGTTTGCTGCCAAAATGTAAAATTGTAGTGAAGAATGTTCTACATAATCTTAAATCTAGATTACGTATTACCAATGAATAGGCTTCCATTTTCGTGTGTGGTGTGCTAGTGGGAAAGAAGATATGAAGAGGTTGCCTTCAGATTGTCAATTATATAGCGTCGTTTTCACTGCAATATATGTGAACTCAATGAGATACATTATTCATTAGATGTGACAAGACGATCACGCGTGGGCGTGATTCACTTTATGTCAACAGGCAGCGCCGAAAGTTGATAGTGATAACTCGAGCTGCCGCTTTTCATGTGTGCTGTTGTGGACTGTGCGCGCTACTGGATCTGACACTACCGTGAAGCGCCGAAAGTGTGTTGTCGTGAGCATAAGTTGTTCTAGCACCATATGAATGAAAAGAACTATGTAGACGAGACAAACACAAGTAGTACTGCAGTAGTAATAGCAAAAGTAGTACTGCTTTACAAGTTTGTAAGCCAAAAGAAACGGTCACATAAGGACTGAAGAGGTAGAACACTACTGACGAGGCCTCTTACCCCTGTCCCTCCTACCCTGCGCCCTAATGTGCCCCTGGGAGTACGTGAGTCGGTCCGGGGGTACGGCACGGCCAACCCGTCCTGCCTGTACAGGTGTGACCTCTGGCTGCTCCTGAGTGTGCGCCTCTGGAGCTCCTCCAAGCTGAGAGGAGCCTAGTACGTCGTGGTGGTGTGCACCGTGCAAGTCGTCGTCGTAGAACTGGCTAGTAGGACCAGTCCTACCGGCGTGAGACGAAGAGGCCCCAGTACCGAAGATCCCGGCTGCGAATCCTGCTGGACAAGGACCATCAGTTTCGTACAAGTATTTAACAGTAGTAATAAAAAGTAAAGTCCAGAGAAGTCCTCATTTGCCCAATCAGTGGCCATTACATCACCTTCCTCATCGGATGATGCGTCGTCGTCCGCTTCCTCATTATCCGAATCTTCCCTCTCCATTTCATCAACAATTATACCGACTCTCTCCCCCTCATCCGCCATGCCCATGGCCTGCTCCTCCCTTGGTTGATTTTCCTCATTTTGCATCGATGGTCCAACAACATCCCCTGCATTGATAGGACCCTCTACATCTTCGGTTTGCATTGAAACATTTATATCTTTCTCTTGTACCAACACAAATATAACGAGGGGCCATGACCGTTCAAAAGCCATTTCCACATACCGTCTCCAAGCATCAGTGCTGTCCATCGGCATTAGTTCCCAAAAATAACCTTCTGTTGCACGACTCACTACAACTGATACTGACATTGTGTAGACTTCTTGGTCTATTCTAAATCCTCTCAACAACCAACTATAAATTGACTGAAATGTTCTCTCCGCAGGCCTATCGATGCCCTTAGATGTCATTACAAAATCTGACAGATCAACACCATCTGGACCAAATCTAATATTTCCTTCACCGTGAACTATCTGAAATGTGACCTTACTTGACATTGTGCCTGATGAAAACAATAACTGCGTTAACCTTGCATTTCTGTACTACGCCCTAAGTTACATTCTCTACAATATTGTTCTCTAAATTTCTAAAATTACGTTACATTCTCCAGATCAAACTAACTACATCTTACAATTAACACTACTGTCTATGTCTCAATTCATACTATTATATTCTATGCTCTGGATCTACACATATGTGCTCTGTGCTACAGATGTGCTAAAATATATGGAACTAAAACTAAAACGCAACATATATACTCAAACATAACATATTAGTACAAATGCAAAAGATGTATGGGAGCATACCTGTGATGAAGTGAGCGAACCAGCAGGGCTTCGCCGCTCCCCTTCTGCTGCCCTCCCCTCTCTCTCTTTCGTTTTTTTTGGATTTTTAGTGAATATAATGAAATTTAACAGAGGAGGGACTGGGCTTTATAGGGGGAGGCAAAAAATCGCCCTCCCCCAGGGCGGCAAGGGGGCCGCCTGCAAAATTCCATGCCCCCTCGCCGCCCATTTGTAGGCGGCCCCCCGCACAGTACAAAATCGCCCTAGCGGAGGGCGGCAAGGGGGCCGCCTGCAAAATTCCATGCCCCCCTCGCCGCCCATTTGCAGGCGGCCCCCCGCACAGTATAAAATCGCCCTAGCGGAGGGCGGCAAGGGGGCCGCCTGCAAATTTCGTTGACGGCCGTCGCCCGAGAGCGAACGGCCGGCTGCCACGTCATTTTCGCCGCCCTTAAAAATCGCCCTCCCAGAGAGCGGTAGGCAACTACTTCCGTCAATTTTCAAAATGGAAAATTATTTTTGTAAAACTTTTAATAAAAAAAATTATAAATAAAAAAAATTCTTTTCGGTAGGCGGCAAGATGGGCCTGCATGGGCCGTAGTCTACTGGTTTGGAGACAAAAGAGGCCCACATTGATAGGCTGCGACGGGTAAGCTACTTCCTGGGCCTCACTCTAGTACGAGAGAAGCACACTTGGGCCTGGACAACTCTTTTTCCTGTTCTTTTCAGCACGTGTGTCTCTCTCTTGCCGTCCTTTGTCTCAGATTCTTCTCCCTCTGTTCCTTCAACTGTTCAACATCACCACGACACCACCACATGATGAATCAATAAAAAACATCGGGAGTAGCTATATTTATAGCGCCATATTTTTTATCAAAAAATAGTCAGCATGTATTTACATTGTAAGTTACTAAATTAGATATGTAAATTTAATGGATTTACAATGTAAATTTTAAAATTACATATGTAAGTCTTAAAATTACATAGTAATTACATATGTAAGTGGTGTGTAAGTGAGATGTAAATTTAAATCTTACATTGGAAAAGTTAAAAAGCAAAAGCATATGCAGTCCTTACTTTATAGGAGATGATTTTGAGAAGAAATCGAACGGTCCGGCAAGCACAACCGAAAACTCGTGCAGAGCAATCGGACGCACAGAGAAGCCGACTGAGATCAGCCCAAAAAATTGTCGACATATTTTTAGCTAAGTCCAAAACATCACCACATGAGCAATTTAGTGGAACTCTTTCTTCTTTAGTACTGGCAATGTTGCTCTAGAGACCGTGCAGACTGCAGGTCTCTTCAGATTTGGACCACGGATTCAGATAGTGGTATTGCAAACTTGCGCGACTGCAATGTTGAATTCAAACATGTAAAGTCACCCCAAATTTGCACTATTGGAGATTGGTTCTTGGCTTCTTGCCGAGCATATTCCTCACTTTCCCATCCTTTCGTGCCTAAACAAGCGGCCTAGTGAAAATCATGGCAACGCATATCCTTGTGGAAATGCGAATCCCCAGAGGCCCAGACCGTCCTCCACTAAGCAAAGTGCAAGCTCACTATCGTGGATGTTGTTCATGGCAATCGTCCTGATTAATTCGGTTGACAGCAACACAAGCCTTCTGATGTGCAGTTCCCAAATTTCACCGACCGTTCGTCCCCAATCGTGTCCAGGTTCATACACCCCGGAACAGCATGCCGGATCGCGTCCAGGTTCATGCTGTATTACCCTCATCATGTTAGAGTTCTAGATTACAAGATCTTAAGCTTTAGCCTATAAACAATCACCTCTCCTAATTATAAAATCAATCTACCGACCTATGTTTGAAGCCATCAATGATTCTTCTAGTTTTGTCTTTTGTTCATTTGCTTTTCTCGTTCTGATTTCCTGTTGATGAAAAGAAACAGCAGAGAACCTCACGTACTCCTTACAGTGCGCACTTGATCGGGCAATTAGATTTAGGGTTTGGCGTCCTCTCCTAACCCTTATCGACATAAGTAGACAAAATCAACCAACAGCATGTCATAAGCTTTTACAGGCATCCTTGTAATCCAATTGAGATTAATACAGAAGAGGAGAGAAAGCATCAGAGCCAGACAAACAGCAACGGAAAATATGAACCAAGCACGCATCCATCATCATTTCGCTAGCAACAATTTCACTCATATCCAACATATGAAGGTGAAAAAAAATTTACCATTACAATTTCGTCTCATCACACAGGCCGTTTGTACATATAGCTCGGCGAGTAATCTCTACACAATTACTCCGTAGTTAGCAGAGCGAGGAGATGAAAACTGGAGGCTGATTCCAGCACATAAACCTGAAACCAGCTGCTCCCTCCAATCACCTCCAGTACAGTAGGTACTACTGCTTCTTCACTTCTTCAGCTTTTCCAAAAAAAAAAAGGGACAAACAAAAACCACTCTTAATTAAGTAAGGCCGGTCGGTGGCGGTGGCCGGTGGGTCGGGTCAGATGGGCGGCGGGGGAGGTCAGCGGGCGGCGGCGGTGCAGCGGCGCTGGCAGAGGTTGGGGATGCGGTCCATGCACTGGTAGACCGGCGGGGAGACGCTGAGGCTGGACTTGACGCAGCTCTTGCACGCCGGGTGGCACCCCGCCGGCCTCGCGTCCATGCACTGGCACTGCGGCGGGATCGACTTGGTGCACCCGCCGCAGTTGTCGCAGCACGGCCACGCCGCCGCCGCCCCCTTCGCCGCCAGCGACCGTGCTTCTCCTCCTCTCTCGCCTTCCCCTGAAAAGAAGCCCAAATATTTCTCCTTCAATTTAGCTCCTGACCCAAGCAAGAAGTCGCTCCAAGAAAGCAAATATCTTTCGATTCCTCTGCTTTTGCTCGTACCTCTGCCATGGAGATGGGAGTGGTGGTGGTGGTGGTGCCTGCCGCTGGATTCGGCGAAGGGGAGCGCCGCGAGGAAGACGGCGAGAAGAACAAAGGCCAAGAACAGAGCCGAGCTGCTCCTCATCTCTCGCTTTCGTTTTTTTTTCCCTATCTGCAAGAAGAATTCGCTTGTTGTTGTTGCTGTTGTGTCTATCTATCTGTACGCGGCTAATAGAAGTCTGCTCTTATAGGGACAAAATCTAAACTGTGTGCCCCTCTGCTCCCCTGCCCACTGAGAAACCACCAAGTTGACGATAGATAGGGGTGTGTGGTGTGATGATAAGTGTACAACTTCTAAAGGGGCCCTTATATTGTGATAGAATTAGGAGATTCTTATCGCCATATTTCTCTTTTTTTTTGTGTGACCACTACATTTCCCCAAAATTGTGGAGTATGAAGGCTCCATGAGCTTGATTCTAAAAATTTCTGATGAGAATCTGAACCAACTCCTAGTTTACTAGATTTTAAAACTATATTTTTTTAAGAAAAAAATTAGCTACATGAAGTTTCCGAAAATAGGACACAAATAATTCATGTTCATAATTTGAGCCCTTAGTTATCCAGAGGAAAATACAAAGATATGCATAGCACATAAAACTACTTAATGGATTTTTTCTCTCTTACGTACATTGAAATACAAAGTTATGTACAACCCAATATCCTAGAAGAAAACGATGACCCCGATTACACTTAGTTGTGTTGGTAAATGAAAGGTGCTAACATATTCCAAAGCAAACTGGTAAATGTTTATGCAAGCTTAGATCACACTTAGGTTGTGTTCAGTAGCTTCAGATGGGACCTAAGAGCCAGTACAACAGCATACTATAAGCCAACTATTAACACATATCGAGTAGATAAATAAGAAGAGAGAAGAGCAGCGGGCTATAAATTTGTACCTAGATTATAAAATATAATGTGTGTTTGACAGGTAGGACCAGATATTACTAGTGTTGTATATGTTTATAGGTATCTATTGTATAAATTGGCTACTAAATTGACTATAGATGATTTGAAGTTAGTCGTTCGATATACTATTAAACATGCTCTAATTCCTTGCGTACAAAACGAAACGACTTATTAGCGCATGATTAATTTAGTATTATTTTTTTTAAAAAAATAGATTAATATGATTTTTAAAGTAATTTTCGTATAGTTTTTTTTAAAAAAAGTATATCATTTAGCAATTTGAAAAACGTGCACACAGAAAATGAAGAATGTGGAGTTAGGAACTCACACTGGCGAACACAACCTTGTTTTGGTAAATGAAAGATGCCGACATATTCCAAATCAAACTAGTAAATGTTCTTGCAAGCTTAGATCAATATCATCTCTAATTCTCTTGTGTAAAATGTCTTGGAAAGTTGGAAGTGTGTCTACGATACAAACTTGAAGCAAACTTGGGCCTTAATTTTCAATTTCTATATTAGGGAAGTGCAGAGCAGAAACTGAATAACAGGAGGGGTTATGTGAAAAAACACATCCGAAATACAATTGATAAGCTGGAGCGTCGCGCCACTTCACATGCGGAAATGAGTCACCGGAGATAAGATCGACGAAGCACTACCTTTCATGGGCCACTCCCACTCGGAGGTGTTCCAGCCTGCAATGCCATCTGGGATTCTCTGTGCCGGCCATAGTACACCACAAAACCACCCGTGCTGTGCTCTGCGAAGAACACACTCTTATTAGTAGCACCTAATCTCGTACCAGTACCATCTATTTATATACCGTGCTACTACTTACAGTTTATAATATACTTATCTATTATAAAAATCAATGGATAATAGTATCACTAACCCACCATATGACTGAAACTTTATGTGATATTACTAATGTAGTTGGTACTATTAACGCTGCTTACTTCTTCTATCCTAAATATAAAAAAATTTGGATGTACAGGACACATCCTAGTATCACGAGTACTAGAGGTATCACATCCAACCAAAATCTCTTTTATTTTAGGATGAAGGTAATACCAACTAGTCGTGGATCCCAGAAATTATGATTTACCGGTATCGGGAGTGGTGGATCTAAAGAATTGTGATATGCTAGTGTCAGGATATAGTAATCTTGTTCGTACATGGTGTTACCTCTATTGTCTAAGCAATATAGCAACGAATTACATTGGACTCTACTACTCTATAGATGCTAGAGCACTATGGTTGGCTTAAAAAATACTATCATGAGCATAAGGCTACCAGATGTAATGCAGTTTCACCATTATTATCGACCCTTCGTTAATCATGCTTTGCATTTGTCTATATCGTAAAAGTGTTATGGTTAGTTAAAAGAATTACTATCATGAGTATAACACAAAAGTAAGGTCTTGGTTGTTAGGTCCGCCACTTTCTTCACTTCACCAATATGTACATAATATTGAGGAAACATCGGTGGTGCACTGGTGCAATGGTGGGTGCATAACTCTCACTCGCTAGATTTTAAATCTATACTCACGAATATTACACATTAAATGTGTTTTTAATAGAAATTTAGTGGGATTAAGGATATATACTATTGGTCTTTGTTTATATTTGATCTTATCATGTTGAGGTCATACTTGTGGATGTGCATTTGATGTGTGCGGTTGTGCCTCTTCTGTTTAATCGAAAAAGATTGCACATGATACTCTTGAAGTGAAGATGCCATAGAAGATCCGCGAGTGGTGGCCGGTATCCGTACGCGATAACAGGTCGGAATGGGACCGCGGCGACGGGGGAACGCAAAATAATCAATAGCAGGAGGAGGATAAGGACGCTACCGTTCCAGCGAGGCTGGTTGCTCCCTCCCTTTTGTCTTGGTGCGGAGATTAGTTTATTTCTTTTCTACAAAAATAGTGCAATTTGTAATGCTCCTTTCGTTCTCAATATATAGCAATATACGCTCTTCGTACTCACATACATTTATATAGACGTTAATAAAAATTTTATATTATAAAACAGAGAAAGTAGTTGATTGGACTAGCTTAGAACTATGAATATGGAAATAGGCTAATTTCAAATCCTATTTTTATATTCGTAGTTCTTAAATGGATCTAATCTTATTTTAAGGGTCTGTTTGGCACATCTACAGCTTTAGTCAAACAGAGTTTTAGTTCCATCTAAAATAGAAGTGAAACTGAGTGGAACACTCTAATGAACTAAAGAGATAGAGCTTAGTTTCGACGGTTTTCGGCGGCTCTACAACTCTACTCATAACTCTTGGAGTCAAATTTAGAAGTCAGAGCTCTACTAAATATGTTCTAGACTGTTGGAGTATATATTTGGATGAAGAGAGCAGAAAAATTAGCAGTAATCTCCTTTGCTCTTGCTTCGCTTTAGCTTACTTTTCCCAGATGATAAACAAATTTAATTGACTTGACCCTGATGAAAATCGTTGCAAGGAATATTCCGCGGCATCGTTTGGTTGGTGGTGTCCATTCACGGCCGTGTGAAAGCCAGTCCGAAGCCAAAACTCCCAACCGTTTTAAAACAACTGCGACATGTGTCCCACATGGTAATAAAGCCTTTCTTTTTTCTTAACATATGACCTATCCAAACCAAACACACGAGGAATCGAATCAGAATTTTAATGACACGTCCTTAAGACAAACGTGTAGCACGGCTGTGTATTCTCAGATTCAGAATACGAGTATTATAATGCAATATTTTGATTCTAGTAACGAGCCTAGCCAAGCTGGTCGGCAGTTTTTTCTTTATTTAAAAAAACAGAACTCGCCGTTACAGTCTTACAGAACAGGGCGATTTTTTTAAGAAAAAAGTTTGGTGAGCATACGGTCACGGGTCAACTGAGAGACTGTATCTTGAACACGTCACGCAGTTTGGTGAGGGAGTACTTATTACTGTAGCTTACATACACAATGGGCCTAAATCCAACCTGTTGTTACTATTGGGCCAAAATCCAACTTTTTATTGGGCTTTCGACTCCCTTAACTATTACCCGCACTGCACTTGGCGTGGCGTGACATGGCGATAATCAAACCATTCATGTAGGTGCCACATCAGTTGAAATCGTCATCCAAACCATCTTGTGATCTTATTTGGGGTGGTTTTGGGAGTTGATGGACACGTTGTATCCATTTCGGTATCAATTTTAGACTGGACAACAGTGAGGGGTCTAAACTGAACTTATTCCCCATTGCGACTTGATGGCCCAATACCAGGACTCAGCGAGTCCAACCCAACCAAAGCACCGTAACTACTCTTTGGGCTGTTTCAGCCGTTGATGCGCAGGAAAAGTCTACTTTTACGTCTCTATCTAATTAACGGCCATTTTATCCTGTCGCTCAACCATAAAATTGGCTACAACACATCTGTATCTTCTAAAATCAGTGAAAATGTAATCCTGAGATAGTACTGAAGCCGGTTTTTACTGACGTTGTGTAGGGACTAGGTAATGTGGCTCTCACGTTGTGTAGTGATTAGGTCTTCATCCCACAAGACACTTACATTAATAAAAAAACCCGATGGGGCTCATGTAGAGCCGACATGTCAGCGGTTCTTCTTCCTCCAACCTCACCCTGTCTCCTCTCTTCCCCATCTATCTCTACCTCTCCCCCCTCTTCTTGGTATCTAGTATGGGTCGTTGGGTTCGAGGGTTGGAGATACTCCCTCCATACTCATAAAGGAAGTCGTTTTGGATAGCGACACGGTCTCTAAAAACAAAACTTTGACTTCTTGTTTCTATAAAAATATTTATTGAAAAGTGATATATGTATACTTTTATGAAAGTATTTTTCAAGACAAATCTATTTATATAATTTTTATATTTTCAAACTCAACAACCTGAGAGTTATTCATGATTTATATTCCTAAGGTTTGACTTAAACATTATCCTAAACGACTTCCTTTACGAGTACGGAGGGAGTATCTCGTAGGCTGGCGAAGGCGACCTCGACTATGGTGAAGACGACAACGGCGACACATAATGCTTGGACTTCTTCTTCTTCCTCCTCTTTTCATTGGGCCGACGAGACCCATACTTGTTGTTTATTCGGGCATTCGTACGCCAAAGCTACGCATGATATGCTACGGACACCTTCTGCTCCGGCAGTGGCATAAGGAAAAAAAAACCCGGGCTTGTTGACTCACGGTGAGGGTGGTTCATCGTCCTCCATTTGCTCGTAGTCATCCATAAAGCCACAGTATCACACCAGGGCGGTGTGACTTGCTCTTCTTGTCGTATCATTGTAATATCCATCTCCATGGATGCCATGTCATCTCGATATGCACTAGAAACCGATTGAATCGATCTAATACACGCGACTCGCTGAAATGAATGAAAGTGGTACGTCATAATAACTAAGGCAGGCGACACTCGATAGTGATGGTAGCCATCTCATTGTATGTGACCATCTTGTCTACCTGTGTTGGGCCATCATCTCGGCCTCTACTTGCCACCACCCTACCGACAAGGTAGGAAGAGAGGATAGAGGTGGAGAGAGATGGGGAAGAGAGGAAAGAAGGGAGGTTTTGGAGGAAGAAGAACCCCTAACATGTTGGCCCCACATAGGTCCTAAAATTTTTTTGTTCTTGAATGTAAGTGTTACGTAGATGTCTTGTAAGACGAAAACCTAGTCAATACGCTACATAAGCACCACTGCACCACGTCAGCTAAAAACGACCTCAGTGCTGCCTTTGGACTATATTTGCACTGGCTTTTGGAAGACTAGGAATGCGTTGTACCTGTTTCTGTGATTGAGGGACGTGATCGAAACTCAATCATTAGAGGGACATACATTGGACTTTTTCCTCACAGCGCAAGGCTGCAAACTCGGTCCGAAGTGGCGGAGCCAGGATTTCGAAGTTGGGTATTCCCGTTTAACAAAAAAAAAGTTCATAGTAAAAAAAAATCAATGGTTCACAGTATGTCAATACCGATAATCGAAGAAATAAAACTACAAATATTACATGGTACCTCTAATTTTCTATTTTGGTTCCTTCATAGCTTGAAAGCGGTTTATAATATCACAGTCCTTGACTTTCAAAAACATCTCACACTCAATAAATGTGACCAAGCAATGATTTAAGTATTGATCCCCCAGCCTGTTTATCAATTTATTCTTCACATTATTCATGGCATAAAAGATTATTTGAACACTAGCTGTTACTACTGAAAGTACTATAACCAATTTGAGAAGCTTGTAAACAATCTCATGTCTATTGTGCAACTTTGTTTCAACAATCATAATGGAAAGATTAAGAAGATTTTTCACTTTTCTAAACCTTTCATCTATACGCATCTCAGTTAGGAAGAGTACTTGGCTAACTAATATGTGTACATGTGCGTATACTGAAGTATATTCCTCGGAATACGCAGGAATCGTAGTGGCTCCGCCCATGGGTCCGAATTAAGCAGGCTTTCGGGCCATCTCAATCTCGCACTCTTAACTCCAAGTGCACGTAATCCATCTACTCAGCACTTCGCCTCTTGCACTAAGCACACGCGTAACTTACTAATCACTGCTACACTGAATCAGTTCAGGACTTGGCAACATCAGCAGTAGCAGTAGATCACACGATCAGATGGCAATCACAAGCAGATTAAGCATATACATGGACGAACGACATAATCCTTACAATTTTTTTGTTGTTGTCACGTACCACGAAAGCAGATCATAATACATGATGATGCCATTTTCTTTCTTACCATGATTTTCTAGCTAGCTAGCTAATCGATCAGCTACTGCTTGATATTGATCAGTAGGCAGCAGCAGCTGCGGCGGCGGCGCACTCGATGTCGCCGGCCTTGTCGTCGACGACCTTGCCGCCGGCCATGACGGTCTTGTACGAGTACCTGGTGGCGATGACCACGTAGAAGACGAGGTTGGCGACGCCGATGCAGGCGAGAAGCCAGTAGAAGAGGTCCAGCCTGCTGCTGTTCAGGTCCTTGCCGAACCAGCCGGCGGCGGCGCCGCCGTGCGAGGTGACGCGGTCCACCGCCGTGATCAGCTGGCTGCTCAGGAAGCTGCCGGCGCCGATGACGCTGAGGTAGAGGCCGATGCCGAGGCTGCGCATGCTGTCCGGCACCTGGTCGTAGAAGTATTCTTGGAGACCGACCAGCGCGAACCCGTCGCCGATGCCCATCAGCAAGAACTGCGGCACCAGCCAGAACACCGACATGGACGCCGGCGAGGCGCTGCGGAGGCGCTGCCTCTCCACTGTCGCCGCCACCGCCATGGCCACGATGGTGAACGCGATGCCGACGCCGATGCGCTTCAGGATGCTGAGCCCGCGCTCGCCGCCGGTCAGGCGGCGCAGGTACGGCTCCAGGACCTTGTCGTACACGGCCACGGCGACGATCATGCCGATGGCGGCCATGGCGAAGGTGGACGCCGGCGGCAGCGTGAAGTGCGGGCCCATGCGGCGGTCCATCACGCTGCCCTGCTTGATGAAGAAGGTGGACACCTGCGCCGCCGTGATGCCGAACGGCAGCGTCGCCACCCAGATGGGCACCATCGCCAGCACCAGCTTCGTCTCCTCCACCTGCGTCACCGTCGCCAACCGCCACGCCCCGCGCCGCTCCTCGCCGCCGTCGTGCTCCACTACGGCCGCCTTGTCAAGAAACCTGCCATGCCATGTCATCCACACATTCCATGATTACAATCACAATTGCATTTTTCCTCGTCAGTTTAAGCTTTTGGATAAACAAGGTAAGTCCTTATGTATAACTTTACAACGTGATCAAATATTGTTATCATTTTCACTATCGATAATTTTTTTCTCTCGTCAGCTTAAGTTTTTGGGTCGACTGGTGGTTGAGCCGTGGTGCAGTGTACGTGCGTCAATGATTAGTGTCTTTTTGCGAGAAAAGAAGGGGCAAGGAAAGTAACGTGAGTTGAAATGAAGTGGTCACCTAAGTTGATCGGTATGGCAGAGCAGCCGCCTCTTGATATTCTGCGGCTTCACCTCGTAGAGCTCGTTGGCGTCGGCGGGGAGGTGGAGGTGCCTCTTCCTCGCGGCGGCGACGAGGACGCGGACGAGCGGCGTGAGCGGGCTGCCCTCGGGGACCCTGTACCGGTAGTGGCGCCAGCCGGCGAGGAAGACGGCGAGGGAGGCGGCCATGACGGCGGCGAGCACGACGGCGGCGGCGCCCCAGCCGACCTTCTCCTGGAGGTAGACGATGACGGTGACGCCGAGCAGGACGCCGGCGCAGAGCGCGCAGTTCCACCAGTTGAAGTAGGACATCTTCTGCACCCGCTCCGCCGCGTGGCCGTCGTCGAACTGGTCGGCGCCGAAGCTCTCCAGCGCCGGCTTGTGCCCGCCGGTGCCGACCGACACCAGGTAGATCGCCACGAAGAAGAGCGTCTCGTGGAGGTGCAGGTTGCGCTCGGGTTTCAGCCTCGGCGACAGCTGCGATATCGCCAGCAGAATCAACCCCTGCAATGACAGAAAACAAAACAAAAATCATCATCAGAGATCGCTCGCTGCCGGCGAGGAACGCCATTAGAGCTAGTGAGAGAGCTGACCGAGAGGTAGATGAGAGTGGAGAAGAGGACAGTGGAGAAGCGGCCGAGGTAGCCGTCGGCGAGGAAGCCGCCGACGAGGGGCATGAGGGTGGTGACGCTGGTCCAGTAGTTGACATTCTTGGCGGCGAACTTCATCTCCTCCTGGAGAACCTTGGTCAGGTAGATCATCAAGCTCGTCGCTAGCCCGAAGTAGCTCAGCCTCTCGCTGAACTCAATCACTTCATTTAACCAATCGATCGAATTCACGCCGAGATCGAGGAGGAAGACGACGAACACGTCACTCAGTCGATCAGTAAGAAATCACATGAACACGTACGGACAAAGATTCATCGAGAAATTAAAGTGGCTTACAGATGATGAACATTGCGGCCTTCCATGATCCGGTGGCGGCGCGGAGAGGAGGCCGCCCTTGGTAATCCACCGACGAGTCCTCCACCCACCTCTCGTCGCCGCCGTCCACCGCCGCCTCGCCATGGCCGCCGCCCCTTAAACCCTCCATGCTCACAAAACCTCTCCAAAAAAACCCGGCAAAAAAAGAAAAAAAAAGAACCCAGATCTTTGCCACAAACAAGAGGAGTGGATTGGAAGAACAGCAAGCGAGAGAGCGATCTAAGCACGAGCTGTTCTTGATTTGATTTGAGGTTGGTTGGTTGGGAGGAAAAGGGGCTCGAGGTGCAGCCTTTATATAGCCGTGTGTGCTGGATACGCTTGACACGTACGGCCAGCGAGAACAGAGGAGGAATCGAAGAAGAGGACGAGGATCGAGGTGTGAGCTCACTCGCAGACTGACCGGATTACTGCGGCTTCAGTCAGTGGTCGCTGTTGATTAGATTTGTAATCATTTTATTAGTAAGATCGATGGGCCTATAACGAATCGAATCAGGGAAAGGAGAGCTCGATCGATTTTGGGTGAAAGGCGAATCGATGAAAAGAATTAGTTGAATTAGTCTAATCTTGTGAAAAAATGGAAATAATTAGTCTAGCTAACCAAAAAAAATCTTTGAAGGCGACGCATTAATGGGAATTCAAGGATTTTTTTTGCTACACTAATTATTGGCGTGTTTTTTTTTAAAAAAAAATAATCTGTGGCCTAACTTGGCGTGTTTATCTTCAAGCTAGTGGCTAGTGCTCACTACTTTCAGTCTTTCACTGCTTTAGAGATGACTTGCTTAAGTAAAATACTAGTAGTAATTAAGGTGTGAAAATATCTGTGACAAAATTGACGTTTTTTTCATCAGCCGCATGCAATTCAATGAGCTTTTACCAACCATACTTAATTAATTTTTGTACTCCTGCCGTTACTTTTTACTACAAACAAACGTTGGACCAAATATCGCCAACTACTATCCTTGGAAAATAATTAAGGGATGACAAATATCTAAGAGATTTGACCCCTATTGCAACTTTCTCAATTCATCATGTTCAAAGTAGAAATACACCTCCCATTTAAAAAAGTTGAAATACATCATATGTATATATAAGGATACCTAATAATTGGAATTTATTTACACATATAAAGATTCATAGACTATATATAAAGAATTTTAGCATTTAATATTTATTTGCCATACAAATATAAGTATTCACAAAAACTATTTCTCCTAGCCACCGCTCTTTATTTAATTTTCTCACCTCACACCTCCAATCATTTTTTGTATTCGTGGACAAGGTATGTAGTGTGTTACTGATGTGGATTTTTAAGCCCACGACTTCCTTTATGTGGTTTGTTTTTTTATATAAGAAAGAAAGAAAATATTACCTCCGTCCCAAAATAAGTGCAGCCGTGGATATCCGTGCCCAACGTTTGACCGTCCGTCTCATTTGAAAAAAGACAAATTTTGCTACAGGACATTGTAATTGTGTGGTTTTAGCTCAGGGACACCGCGAAAGTGAAGTTTTAGGGGAAGACATCCCATAATCGTGGATATTTGCCGATGGACATCGTGTCGTCTAAAGGAATCTTGCCGTGCTGACGTGGCGGATGGGAGGCCGTTTTTTGACGCGATCGGACGTAAATACCCCTGCACCACGTCAGCAAAAAAAGGCCTTCCCGTCAGGCCATTCCCCACCGCCGCTAGCTACCTCTCTCCCCTCTCCGCCGCCGCACCAAGTCGTCGCCACGCTCGGCCGCTGCCACTGCGCGCGGCCACATCTCCCGTGCGAGCACCACCCGCGCGCCACTGCTGCTTCGCCACCACCCGCTGTCTTCGTCTTGCTCGGGGCCACCACCACGCTGCGAGCACCGCCCCCGCGCACGGCCAAGCCGGCCCACACGGGCGCCGCCTCCGCGATCACCCAGCGCCTCCACCTCCGCCTCCTCTGCTCGGCGCTGCCCTGGCACCTCCTCGCTGAGCCAGCCTTTTATCCCCATCCACTCAACGCCGCCAGGCTCCCTTTAGGCCGCCGCCGTCGCCTCGGCCCGTGCCGTCGCGCGCCTGCCGTATCTTGCTCAGGAGCGCACGCGCGTGGGAGCCGCTGGAGAGGATTGGAAAGAGAGGGGAAGAGGGGCAGGCGCTCGGCAGCGCGGAGTAGCAGCACATGTTCTTGGCATCGGCGTCGGCGCTCGAGACGAGGAGGTTGGGGGAGGAGGGCGTGCTGTTGCGGATGCGGCCCGGCGGCGACGGCTTGACCACCTCCTGCTTCGGGGGATCCAGGGCGTGCGTGCTGCTGCTCTGCTTTGCTCCCCGCTGAGCTACTGCTCTGCTCAGCTTCGCGGCCAGCTCCGGCCGCCGTCAGCCGCCTGCCCAGCTCTGGTCGTCGCCTGCCTTGCTCTAGTCTTCTCCTTGTAGATGAGAGAGAGAGAGATTGAGGATGACATGTGGGGCCAGACATGGAGGATGACATGTGGGGCCAAACATTAAGGAGATAAGGCGCAGGGGCATTTAGGTCCAACCGCGTCAAAAAAGGGCATCCGTCCGTCACGTCAGCATGGCAAGATTCCTTTAGACGGCACGGTGTCCATCGGCTAATATTCACGATTATGGGATGTCTTCCCCCAAAACTTCACTTTCACGGTGTCCCTGAGCTAATTTAAATGGCACGGTGTCCATCGGCTAATATCCACGATTATGGGATGTCTTCCCCCAAAACTTCACTTTCGCGGTGTCCCTGAGTTAAAACCACACAATTGCGATGTCCTGTAGCAAAATTTGCCTTGAAAAAATTGTGAAAAATTTGAAAATTTGCCTTGAATGTGAATAGTGCAAAACTACACTTATTTTTGGACGGAGGGAGTATAGATTATCATGTTGCATATCCTCCGAAAAGAAGGGAAGCATCACATATGTGGTGGTGGGATCATAGCTATCCACAACGTTCAAATTTGGAGTCAAAATCTGTCTCCCTTATTTAGTGGTGGAGTATTGAACACATAGCTAATACCTCACACTATATTTTTTTTCCTTGATCTTCTAATTAATGTTTGCCATGCATACACAATAGCTCCAGCACTCATTAATTTGAGTGAAATCTATGAAGTATCAAATCCTGGAGATTAAATAGTCCACTGAGAAGATATTGTATGCATCACAAAGATATAATACATTGAAAACATAAAAATTTGCATTGACTCCCAAATTTCCAGCAAACGTCATCAATCCAAGAGATACATACATCTATCATGCATACGCCGTCTCTAGCGCCGCTGTTCTGCATGGAAACTAGCCGAGATGCAGGGCCAGTAAATTAAAGCGTGCACGTTTTCACGTCCGTTTTTCTTAGACATGTACAATGATATTTATTAACGTACTCTTTTGATTTTCGATTGATATGCATATAAATTTAGTGACGTGAAAAGAAAAAAAAAGAAAAAAAAACAGCGTTGCTACGTATGACAACGGTTTAGATTTCAACTCTTGGTAGCATTTATTAACTGAAATATTGTTACATGGAGATGGAGAGAAGAAAAGAAAATAAGGGTAATAAAAATTTATTTTGATGTAGTAATAGTTAAGAGGTTATATTTTTTTAACTATTGCAGAAGTATTAACTAAGAGATCGTGTCGTGTCGAACTATCTTTTGTACATGCCCTCCTTACATCTCTCGCAGGGTGACGGGCTCACTCACGCGTGGCCGTTTTACGAAGATACAAGCTAAGCAAGTTGGATGCGCAGATGCAGCCGTCGATCGATCGATCGCCCACCGGAATCGGCGTTGATTTTTCGCAGGAAATGCTTGTCTCTGCATGCGTTTCAGTCAGCGGCTAACTGCCAACCGCTCGTCGTGTTCTTCGCCATGTGTAAACGCTCCTGCAAAATTCCCAAATGGAGTTGTACGACGTCGCAAGTTGCAACTCGATGACATATACTTTTCATGGAGTCAATAGTTTGAAATAAGTTTTCAAGCAATGAGTACAATGTTCAAAAAAAAAAAAAAGCAATGAGTACTACTGGAAAGTTTTTTCTAAGCAAATACTCCATCCGTCTCTAAATATTTGACGTTGTTAACTTTTTTAAACATGTTTGACCGTTCGTCTTATTTAAAAAATTTAAGTAATTATTAATTCTTTTCCTATCATTTGATTTATTGTTAAATATACTTTTACGTATACATATAGTTTTACATATTTCATAAAAGTTTTTTAATAAGACGAACGATCAAATATATTTAAAAAAGTCAACGATGTCAAATATTTGGAGACGGAGGGAGTATATTTTAGAAAACATGAAGCAAATAATTCAGTGATATCCAAAAAGGACGAAATAATTTACGGGACGTGGATCCTCTCCTGTAATGCAAGGGCCACTGTTAGAACAGTATAGTAGTACTGTAGCAAAAACTGCTTGCACAGTGTGGGTTTGACCGGTTGACAAAATATTATTATTCCCCTTCTACTATTCGAGTTCAGTGTAACATCCGTTTCTAGCCGTTTGATGAAGATCCAACGGTAAAAACCATGCCTAATGCAAGTGTACTGTAGATTCTTTGCATTTTTTTTCCTTTAATGTAGAGGATCCGAGTCCTAATTTACGCCCACAGGCTTCTTTTGGGAAACTATTTTCATATATACCATCTAAACATTTATAAAAAAAAGATAGTTTTATACATGATATATCACTCAACATCTGTTTCAGAAGGCAAAAATATTTTTATCTTGCCTCAAGGAATTATTTAATCTATCTTATCAGTTTGTTTATAATTATTTAGATAACATATAATAAACGAGAGGACATCTCTTCGTGAAATTAGAGTTCAATCAAAGTGAGAGTAGCTCAATAGATTCCTTTAGCTGGAATTGGCCCATTCAGGTCCAAGTCCTACACTTCACATAAGCAATTGTATTTAAGGTTAATTATTTTTTTAGTGGTAGGCAACGCACTTGTCGACGTTTGAGATCGCGACTACGGTATTTAGATGGTATGGGGATCATTGGTACTAGGGTATATGCGAGATTGGAGTAAAAGAGACAGAGACAAGGATTTTTATATAGGTTCGGGCCCCTTATCTGACAGGTAATACCCCTACATCCTGTTGGCTGAAGCCGGTGTTGCTCCTTTATTCATTTGAATTACACAAGTATAATATTTGGGATAACTTATCTTGTTGTCGTTGACTTGGCGGCTAGATAACCGACTACGACAGGGTAGTCTTCCTCCTCGAATCCGCACTCGCCGAGATCAGATATGCTGCTAGATCCCTATTGCCGGCCTCCGTAGAAACCGGACGGGGTTTGTCTAGGCTAATCTCTGATGTTGATACCCGACGGCATGTCTTGGCGTGTGTTGGCTTGTGTATTGTGTGTTGATCTTGTGGCTTTGTGGCGTGTCCCCTCTCCTCCTAGGGGCTT